CCCAAAAAAAAAAAAAAAGAAGTTGAAGCAATTGCGAACACTTGTCAACGACAAACCGTCTCTGGATTTTAGTTTAGTATTAGCGTACTTGCCAAAATTGATCGTTCTCATTCAACCAAAAAAAAAAGTTGATGCTTTTCCGGGGACAAAAAGAAATTATATGTTTAGTTTCTTCTGTTCCTATACTCATGTTTGATTCTGTGGTATTTTTTTTTTGGATGAGTTTGATTCTTTGGAGATGAATTTTGGTCTCTTTCAAATTTTAGTGGATATTTCTTGTATTCTCTTTGAGAATTTCGATTCATTTATTGCCTGATTGGACTCTGGAACATTGTTATTAGTCTTCTCCAACTAGCTTCGCTGAGAATATCCTTGGAATCTTACATCTGATGCTGATTCTGGACCGAAACTTTGATTATAGATTAAATTTCGTATCTGAATTGGTGTCTGGTGAAATTCTTTCGGTTTTCTTGAGGATCTAGATCTGTTTTGGGTCTGGTTTGATGCTGTAACTTATGTGACATGGTATCTTATGATGTCTGATTGAAACTAGTACTTCGGAATAAATCTGAAACAAGTTTGATTCTTTAATCTGAAATAACTTCTGGGTTCGATGGTATGAATCTGGATAAATCGTGGGTTTGATTGCATTCTCAAGCATTAGTTATTCTTTCTGATTCTGAGTTCAGAATAAGTTCGAGTAATATGAAACAAGCTCATGATTTAGAAATTTCTAGCTCGTCTCTTGGGGAGAGCTTATTTCATAATTTCGGTACTGTTCATGTATGTCTGTGTTCTAAGTTTTGTTTGATTTGTTTCTATGGGTGTAGATTCAATACCGGCCTTCGATGATCGATTGTTTATCTGTGTTCTACAAAGACGAGATGGCTGCTACACAAGTTTCTTCAGTAAAATCACGAACAGCCTCAAGGAGTTTCACACGAGCTTTGGCTAAAGCTTTTTCTGAGTGGCTACTGATTTTCATGCTCTTTGTGAATGCCATATTTTCCTACTTGATCACAAAATTTGCAGATTATTCTGAGCTCCAACAACCATGTCTTCTGTGCTCAAGGCTCGATCATATTCTGGGGAAGAAACGTCTGAAACATCACTGGGACCTGATTTGCTCAAAACACAAATCCGAAATCTCTTCCTTGGTTTACTGTCACGCACATGACAAGCTCGTTGATGTTCATGGAATGTGTGAAACTTGCCTTTTCTCATTTGCTACAATCAACAAGTCCAATGCTGAAACTTACAGATTATTGGTTGGGAAGTTGGGTGAAAATTCTTGCTTTGGTTTGAACAATGATTCTTCGCATGGTTCGGTTTCTCCAATCACAAGGCCTTGTACATGTTGTAACCAGCCATGGGTTCCACGAGCTTATACTCAAGTGGCTGAACCAGAAGTGCCAATCAAGATTCCTTCAGTTGGGTATCTGAGATCCGAGAAAGAAGCAGTACAGGCGCGGGATATCCGCAAGAAAAAGGTCGGGTTTAATCATTTGCCGCATGTCGGGTATTCAGAGCTCAAGATTCATTCAGATACCGAGTCTGAAGCTGTGTTTTCAGATGATGAAGAAGGAGCTGGTATGTATGAAGAGGAACATCATATGTTTGAAACTGTGGAGCTGGAGTCTAGGGTTATCACTTTGCCCTATGATTTGGCCACTGACAAGCTGATAGACCCTTTTTCTGCTTCAGAGCCTTTGATTTCAGTCGCCATTGAAGAAACAGGCAAAAACGGGCATGGCCTGGAGGAACTTAAATTGCAAGAGACAGGTTTAACAATGAAATCTGCTTCAAACCCTCATCTTATCTCCCTTGATGGCATGCCTGGAACATCAGACAAGGTCTTCCCCGAGAAAGAGCTCATTTCCTTTAACGATATCCCTTTAACATCAAAAGAAGAGAAAAGTCCTGCTAAACTTAGAAAAGAAAGAGAGCCATCCTTTCCCCATTATAATAACTCTTTAGCAGACTTTATGGAACATCCTGCAGATGTCTCTTATCAACTGGAAACCCATGAAACTTCAATGAGCAAGTTAACGGAGACCGAGTTTGTCTTGTTCAATGATGTGCCTTCTGCCCTGGATGCTGGGGAAATGCCCACCGATGTCTTAAACAGGATTGAATGTATATCCCTTAATGATAGTCAGGCAGTGTCAAATGTTGAAGGAGAGCGAGAGGTGTTAAAGGAGCTCACTTCGAATGAAATCGCTAATGAGGTGTTGAAGGAGAGTGAGACAAAAGTGGCTGATGATATCTATACTGATTCTGAAGCTACTAAGGAAATCTCTCTTGAGGTGTCGAAGGAGAGTGAGACAAAACCGGCTAATGATAGCTATGAGGCTTCTGAAGGTACAAACGAAACCTCTCTCGAGGCATTGAAGGAGAGCGAGACAAAAGGGGGTAATGATATCTATGCGGGTTCTGAAGGTTATATCTGTGAATCGATGGAACCCATTGCTGAAGTTCCAACCATAAACTGTAAGTCCAAACATCCATCTGAATTCAAGAATCTGTTATCTCATCTTGCTTTATATGAGAAGTTAGGATCAATTTTGTGCTGCTTTAATATATATGTTGGGATCATAGGTTTTATATTATCATTAATGATTCAAACACATGAAAGGGAATAGTTCTGGTTCTTCGGTATCATATATGGAATTATATTTAGTTGATGGATGCACATGGCTGTTGTATCAGGTGAAGCAGGAACTGTTGAAATTAAAGAGACAGATACTGCAGAAAACAATGAGCTTCACCTCGTCAGAGATGAAAACAGCACAACCCAGTCAGCTACTGAAACAATCCCATCTTTGGTCCCTTCTGTATCTGAAATGCCTCCACAAGCAGTACCTTCTGTTACAGGAGCAGCTCTGGAGTCAAAGTCTTCTTCGGTCAACTCAACGTCAGTAGCAACAGAATCAAACCCATCTCGGAGAAATTCTTTGTCACAAAGGAGTGATTCATTGGATCTTTCTGATGCCTACAAGATTGCATTAGGCAATGCGGTCAAGCAGCAAAGTTCTGAGGTACAAACCGAGCAGTGTTCAGGAAAAGATTCTTCTCGGATTAGCGAAGACCTCAAAGCACTTCTGACGCAAATATCAGCTTCTCGTGGGATTGAGTTGTTGTCACCTAGAGATATAAGCCCTAAGATATCAATTAACAGTGAAGACATGAAAAATTTTGATGATATGCAGTTGCTACTTCAGAAAAGACTACTCGAAAGGAACGAGAGCAACTTATCGTTGGATGGAGTCACTGTTAACGAAATTGAGGGAGAAAGTGAGACCGATCGATTGAAGAGGCAGGTTGATCATGACAGGAAAATGCTGACTGGTTTGTATAAAGAACTGGAGGAAGAGAGAAGCGCCTCGGCAGTTGCTGCAAACCAAGCCATGGCTATGATCACGAGGTTACAAGAAGACAAGGCATCGTTCCAAATGGAAGCCCTGCAGAATCTGAGAATGATGGAAGAGCAAGCCGAATATGATATGGAAGCGTTACAGAAGTTGAGCGATTTGCTCGCTGAGAGAGAAAAGGTAATTCAAGATTTAGAAGCTGAACTTGAGTTTTACAGGAGCCAGTCCCCAAGCACATCAACAATAGAAAAAGCTGCAGAACATCATGAAACATCAATGTTTTCAGAAAAGCCAGTTGAATTTGAGAAAGAGAATGTTGCAGAGAAGGCGTCTGAAGTGGAATCGCCCCATAAGAGAATGAGCAACATGATACAGTATTCATTGTTAGGGTTCGAAGATGAGAGATTATATATCACAGATTGTCTGGAGAAGATAGAGAAGAAGCTTCATCTTTTCTCCAACCACGGGATACACACCGACATATCAAAGGGAGAATGTACAGTTGAAGGCGAGGAAGAAGCTAATGACCTGAAACATGTAAATGGTGAGACTGACGACAATCACCAACCATCACAAGAAAATGTCTCTTACCAAGAGAAATCCAAAGATATGGGTTCGGTTGAAGATGAGGTTTCTGAGCTGCATGAGAGGCTCGAGAGGTTGAAGGGAGACTTGTACTTTCTAGAACATGTGATAAACTCCCTAGGGCATGGGAACGAAGGCGTTCTCTTTGTCAAGGAAATAGCTTCTCACTTGAAAATGCTACGGAGTCTCAGCATGCGAGAGCGAGATGAGACTGTCAGTTGAAGAATTGCTTGAAACTTTCTACAAGGTACGTGTTTTCCGTTTCTCGCCCTCTTACACGACATTTACTTTGTTCTGGTTCCTGAACTGGCCCTACTGGTTCAACCGGATACCGCCAAGATACAGATCTGATTCTTGCTTTTGAAAACATCAACAATCGCAGTTGAAGCATTGATATGTTTTCACAAGCAATCCTAGCCCGCTAGACCATCTATTTCAACCTGAAATCCGTGACCCGGTATACAGGTGGGACCTTATCAGGGCCTCTATTAGATTCTTGGTTTGGTTTTGATTTGTTTCTGTGTTCAAAACTCTTACAATAAGAGCTAATTGCATTGATGGCATGCTTCCTTAAAACTGGTCAAAGCCAGTTCAGTCAGTTCCCAGCTTGGTCCACAACAGGGATTGAAACCTGGTTCCTTTTAGTTGCTGGTTAACTTGGCCGCAAGTTTTCTTTTGCTTATATGCTTTTATGTTCTTCTTCTGTCAGGTAGCTTGCTGGAGAAGTTATCCTGAAACTAAACCAAGGATCTCGTGACAAAAAAAGACATCATAGACACAAAGAACACGGAGAGGTGAAAAGCCGAAGAAAATGTACAGCATCTTCATGGGCTCTCTTTCATGCACAGTTAGACAATTTTTGTGATTTTACGGTTTGATTCTTTCCTTTTATTTTTATTCTTTTAAGCCCCATAATTTTTTCTTGGGGTCTAGTTCTTCAGGAAACTGTTTTTTTTTTACAGTATAGTTTCAAGCATCTTCATGGGCTCACTATTTGTTATTTGTAACATGAGTGTGAATGAGTGGGTTTTGTTTTAAGTTACGGCTAGTTTTCTTTTGGGGACTTGATTGGTGATTTTGAATTTATTGGGGTTGTTGTGTAAATCATGTAAGATTTGTGGGTTGAAAGTTGAAACTTGTGCGTCTGCTCGAATTGTTGTACATTTGGCAAAACACGGTAACATGTTCTTCCTGCTCTTCCGGTTTCATTTTTCCAAATAGAAAAATACAGAGTTCCATTTCTTTTTTTCTTTTTTTTTTTTGAAATTGTTCCTTGTTCATTATTTTTTAATTTGGACCAGCCAAATCTATTTTTATAAACAAGTTCGAAATAATAAACGATAATCCAAAATGGCTCACGTATTCGAGTCCCACCTCCATCATCTACGTTTCAAATTTTACTTGTAATAATTAGGATATCTCGTTCCATTTTATACTATAACGTTTGTGGTGTTTACTATCATCTCTCCTATAATATACATATTCGATTAATATAATCTTTGTATCAAATCGATTAATATAATCTTTTCGCACTAACCATACTTTTCTTCACACCTTATACTTTGTTTTCTGCATTAATATAATCATTTTTACATTAATATAACATTCCGGTACAACCAAACCAACTAGGCTACAAGTAATTGTCAAACATGCATGAAAAGGTGTTTGACTAAATATAACATGAATTATTTTAATGCAAAACGTTCAATACCTTGAAATTCAAGTCGAATTTTAAATGCATTTATTTTATGAAAAAACGATCATCGATATCAAAACATTTCGCATGGTCAAATTAATGAAAGAAACATCGTAGAAAAGGAATGTTGTGTGTTGCTTACCTATTCTAACCCTACGAATACGGTACCATACAACATGCAATATATATACTGTTTATGCTTGTGTGTGTATAGTATGATAATTTACAGCATACAAAACACTATTTGGTAAAAATATAAATCGTGTTACAAAATGTTATTATTTAATTTCAATCGATCTATCCATCTCTTATGGCATGTTAAGGGGTGTTATATGGCCTCTAAAATCGTATTTAGGGTGTTTTATGCCTTTCTCTATTGTGTACGTTTATTCATAGTCCTCGTGAAACCATCTTAACCCTTTTCGTAGAATAATATTTTTTTTATGGGGTTAAGCTCATTCACACACTTTTAATAATATATATATATATATATATATATATATATATATATATCACAAGGGTATACATATACGTAAACATTCATTTTTCTTTATTTATTCACTAAATTTTCTCTCTTCTAGTGAGAAAACATCGCATTGCCTTTTGGCTTGGGAAAAAAGGAAAATTTTGCCTCAAGGATATGAACATTCACACCTACATATATCTTTCGAAAAAATGTGTCTTTTAAATTGGAAAGAAATTTATTAATAAATACGATTTAATAATTTAGATTCTTAAATGTTCAATGTAAGTCTAGGATACATACAAATTCATATTATAAAAAAAAAAAAAAAACAGGCAATACAACCATTTTTTCAAGTTGCAGCACTTTACTCTTGAAACACAATGTTATATATGGTCAATCGGCCATAGCATAATATTCCCAAAGAAAGCATCATATAATGGTAAATTTAAATAACAAATGATGTTATGACATACTATATATATAGTTATTATGCTATTAGAAGTAGTAATATATTTATTTATTATATTTATTTTTGTTTGGCGTTCAAGGTCCGTGTCCTTTTGAATCTTGAGTTTGGACCTCCTCTCATCAGTCGTCAAATCTTCAAACCGCGGCCTTTCTCCCTCCACCGGTCAAACTTATTATCATTTTTTTATACACATGAAAATCATATAATTGTTTTTTTAAATACTCCACTTTAATTACGTCAACGCTTACACATGCATTCATCACGTATACCTGCATGCTACTATATATATATACACGCATATACTCGTTCATATTCTCCAATCTTCTTCAGTGCTCCCACAGAAAAAATAAACCAAAGCAAAAAAAAAATCTTTTTTTCTCCGTTTCACTTTATTGTGATTTCGATTCGATCATTCATTGGATTCGAATCAATAATTCCTCAAATGGGCAGTTGCGTAAACTTGCGTTTAGTTTATTTATTCTCTCTTATATCCATAATTTTTCTGGCGTCGTTCTTCCGGGAAACGGCGGCGATGAGGCCGCTAGCCGGCGGTGACTTTTCCGGCGACTTGAACATCCTCCAGTCTCTTCAAAGGGGGCGCGTACCGCCTTCCGGAGGCAACCCTTGTACCAATATTCCCCGCGGCGGCCGGCGCGGCGGTGGTCGTGGCCGTTGCACTCTGGCCGAAGAAGTTGATTTTCCGGTGAGCCACCACGGCGGTCATCCACCGGAGACTTTTCCCGGCATTGTGGTGGAGTTTCAGGCGGCCAAAAACGCAACTGGGAAACAAGATCGGAGTTCTTGATCATTTTGATTTGTTTTAACTTTTAATTTTTACTTGGGAAAATATATTTTGTAAAGACGTATACGAAGCCAAATTATTTTTTTTTCATTTTATTTGTTTTTTTTATGGGTGCAACTACACCCATTTCGATGTAAATCCAATATTGTTTTATAGGTCAGATGGTAATTCCACGTGGAAAATCAGATTCTTTTAAGTTGTATTATATATTTTGGAAAAAAGTGCTTTAGTTTATTGGTTTTGGAATTTTTGTTGTTTCTTAAAAAAAAATTAAATTCGAATTATAAAATTTGTGAGTATGAAATTGTAGAATAATTTTAAATTTCACAAATAAATATAAAAACTTTCAATTTTGTAAAAAAAATACAAACTTTTGCAATTTTTTTGTCGAAAACCCACCTAACTTCGTTATATAGATTATAAGGTTTTCTATATCATTTCATATGTTACAATTTTGTATTCTCTCAACTAAATATCATGTTTGGCATTGGGAAGTTATGGGTATGTATTGGACTGATGAATTTTTTAATTAAAATGTACTAAAAATCCGTCGGTCTATTTGCGAATACTCAAAAATTATTTTGCGAGTAATATAGTTTGAGTATCTGAAAATTTAAATTTGAGTTCGGATTTTGAAATATAGTATAATTTTTCGGATTCGGATTCCCTAAAAATACCAAATATCTAACCCTATTTGAAATTCGAGTTTGGGGTCCCTAAACGGATCATATCCACGGGTAAGTCGAGAGGCCGCGAATCCGAGGAGATATTTGGTATTATTACTTTAAATAACAAAATATACAGAAGGTGATAGACAGATTAAACCCAATTAAGTTATGAAAAGAAAATCCGAAAGTAACAAAAAAAAAAAAAACTAGACCAAACTAAATTTTGCATAAATCGATTAAGTTATAAAAATGTCGGCCTTGACAAACAGCAGAACCGAACCGAATGGCAAAAATATTGTAAACCGTTTTAAACCGGAACGTAACCGCAAATTGGTAAACCGGATCTTCAACCGAAATGCCGAATCCTAGGTCCTTAAAAGTTAAAACCCTAACCTAAACCCCAAAATTGTCTCTCTCTGGAGAAGACGAATAAGAATTAACGCTTACACGAGAATCCGACGGAATCGTCTGGGCCTCTCGCCGCTTGGATCCCAACACACGAACACAGACCTTCTCTTCATTTCGCAGTCGGATTCCTAGTCAGGTACGTCGCCGAATCAAACTCTCTCTCTCTCGCTCTGAGCTTAGAATCTAGCTCCAGTGTTTGTGTCTATCTTTTTCTGAATCTTGTTCGTGTCTGGTCTTTTGGTTCTGTTTCTGTTACCCGTATTCTTTCTCTTCTTTCGGCACTAGGGATGTGGAATTTTCTTGCCTTCGTGGTGTTTGATTTTCGTCCGATGTGATTCCTGTTCGCTTTCCTGTTCTTTTTTATCAGTTTCTGAATCGGCGGGGGTTTAGATTGGGTAGCCTATATTCCCATTCCTTAAGTTTCTTGATTACTTCATCGATAATCAGTTATCCACCGCAATGTCAAATGGGTGACCGTATCAGGGTTTAGGTTCATTCAATATTTTCAGCAGTGTTCCAGTCGATCGATGCATATATATCCTATTCCTTAGCTTCATTTTTTTGTGCGAAGAGAGCAACTAGAAATCTATTTTATCCTAATTTGGTCACGCAATTGGAAAATTGTCCGAGTTGGATATGCTACTTCTGTACTTCTTTTTTTTTTTTCTTGGTGTGTTTGCTTTTTGACCATGTGTTCATGACAATATCAGGGTAAAATGAATTTTCCGAACATCAGGGATGTATTGACTTCGTTTAGTCCTGCATTAGACTATCTTGCCCTTAGCACTGGAGATGGCCGCATCAAGGTATCTGGAAACTTCATCTTTAGTGGTATTGAGATTCTGTTCTTCAAAGAGAAAACACATTGGTTTCTTATTAATGTATTTGTTTTTCTGTTCTGTAGATATGGGATACTGTTAAGGGTCAGGTCCAAACCGAGTTTGCTGATCTTGCAACTGCAGAAGAGACAAACTTGTATACCAAGGTTGGAAAGGGCCATCTTTCAGTTGATTTTACATGCATGAAGTGGTTGTCTTTGGAGAAAAAGGTAGCGATACTTTGTTACTTTAATCTTGCCTTGGGCTATTGATTCAGTGTACTTATTTCGTTACTTCAGTTAATAAGCTTCATTCTCGATATTTGCAATTTTGCAGAAGAAGAGAAAATTTGGGACTTCATTACTGATACTAGGAACAGGTAGTGGAGATGTTTTAGCACTTGATGTAGCTGCTGGTCAGCTAAATTGGAGGATAAGTGACTGTCATCCTGGGTGAGTGTCTCTCAATGAATTCTTTTAATGGTTTACTGTTCTTTGTTAAAGTATTTCACAGACAGTTTGCATTGTCTATTGTTGAATTCGAGATGCTATTTTTTTATTATGCGCCAGGCAGTTACTCTCTTTGTGCTTGTTTGTAATTATTCCCCTTGAGCTCACTGATTTTCTTGATCAGTTAAAGGTTTTTTACAATTGCATGTCTGTGTTTCCCATCATCTGCAGTGGTGTCAGTGCTGTTGCTTCTTCTAGACATGCTTCCTGCATTTACAGTAGTGGTGCAGATGGAATGATCTGTGAAATTGATCCTCATACTGGAAACCTCATGAGAAAATTGAAAGCTTCAACCAAAGCAATCTCTTGTCTATCTGTTTCACCTGGTATGACTCTACAAATACTTGTTTCAGCTCCCTTTTGTTTTTTTCAGAAGAAAACTGATTATTGTAAAAGATGATGGGATTTTTCAGGAAAAACCAAAGCGAATAAAATTGTTTTCTGATAATTCATTTCAGTTGAAAAATTGCATGACTAGTGCGAATTTGTTACTGATTTTGTTATGTTCTCTTTCCTTCTTCAATGGTAGATGGAAAAGTTTTAGCCACTGCATCTGCTCAGTTGAAGACTTTTAACTGCTCTAATCACAAGAAGATACAGAAGTTTACTGGTCATCCCGTAAGTACCCGTAAAACCTACTTTCATCCCTCTTTTCTAATCAATCACGTCTGATTCCTAGTAGACTGCTACATATTCGTTAGAAGTTAATAAATAGTTATTACAATTGCATAGGGAGGTGTGCGTTGTATGGCTTTTTCAGAAGATGGGAAGTACATCCTCTCATCGGCAACGGGTGAAAGATATATTGCTCTCTGGAAAACTGGTGGAGCCAAGAAGCAGTCTGCTAGCTGCGTTCTTGCCATGGAGCATCCCCCGGTTTTTCTGGATAGCCAATGCTTAACAGGTGAACAAGGATTACATGTGTTGGCTATTTCAGAAATTGGTGTCTGTTATTTTTGGCATGGCTCAAATCTTGAGGAGCTATCCAATGTGAAGCCTACAAAAGTCTCTTTACCTATTGAAGACTCTTTACTTCAACGTCACAAGGGCTCAGCACCTACAATCTTTGCCGCAAAATTACAAGGCATTTTGAAGCCTGGTTCTGCGCATGCCTTTATTGCGTTTGGTTTGCTGGTGAAGCCATCGTTCCAAAAAATGTTATTGCAGTTTGGTTCGGACTTGGTGTTGAATGCCTCTAAGGATGGTGTCCTTCTCCCAATCGATCATTCGGGTTCCAAGGCCAAGAAAGGGCTAGGCTTGCAAAGTAAAGGTATCTCTTTACGAGCCCTACTGTTTATTAGTCATGCATCTTGCTTAATCACATGAATTTGGGTGTCTTTGATTATTTTTCTTTATTATGTTTCTGTAAAATGATTTGATTGTTTCTACAGCTTCATACCATATGGTGACTCCATAATCCATGTTTTGTGGAATCCTGTAATTTCATTTCGTGGAGAATCTTTAACCTGAATACTGCCTTGTAACTTGTAGTTCTTTCTCTTTGTTGTTTCCTGTCCATCAAAATGGCTGATTATGGTTTCTTGATTAATAGTTACGGCACTAGACCGTGCTCATGCGGAGGATGCTTTGCTGCCAGTCCCAATTGTTGCTGACCTGGAGGACACTTGTGTACAACAAAATTTAGATACATATATGATTACTGATGTGGCTAATCAGGGTCAAGCTGCACTAGATGATGGAAATGGTAAGTTCTACATTACTGTAGGTTTATTACTGGTGGTAGACTGTGACTCTCATTTGTTTATCCTTTCTGAATTCTGTCTCCACCTGATATTTTCAAGAGAACGTAGTATATTGGGCATATGCAGATTTTAATTGTATGATTCTGTGATGGTCAAATGAAAATGGAGATCATTTCATGAGAAAATTACGATATAGACTGATACACATGCAAGGAAGGTTTTGTTGAGATGTTAATTCACTATGTTCTTTTTCTTATTTTGCATAGCAGGTCCATTAGCTGGAGTCGAGATGTCTCCTGAAACATTTTGCATGGAGGATAGGTTGAAATCGTTAGGGATACTGAGTAGTATGGATGAATCAAGCAATCTTTCCCATTCTTCCATAATTGAAGGGATTGATTTCGAGGCTAACCTGCCAGAAAAGAAGGTCTATTAATTGCTCTCTTTATGCTAAGTTCTATTGATGCTAATTTTTTTAGCATTTGTATTGACCACTGTCACTGACGCATGCCACTCTGAAATGTTTTTCTGAGTCTCCCTTTCGATTCTTCCTGTTGTAGCAGTTACATAAAATTTTCTTTTGGCAGATAAGGTCTGCGGTTCTGTCTATGGCACCTTCTTCTGCGTGCAAGACCTTAGAAACCCTGGTTGCTTTGTGGCAGACAAGGTTGATTCTTTGCTTTTCTTCTTTCATTATGCATTGTTGCTGCATGCTTGTTTACTCTGCTTGCACTTGTCTTTCTTTCAACAGGGCAGGTAGTGGGAGTCATCTTCTTCCATGGATATACAACATATTGATGAATCATAGTCATCATATCATATCTGAGGAACTGAAGAACCACAGGCTGCTTGATACATTGCTCAAGGTGAAATAGATTAGAGTTATGGGATGTTTATGTTTTTTAAAATAAGTTTCAACTTTCAATTACTTGTGCATTAATGTGGACTTTCTAGTTTCTTCTTTTAACTGTGCTAAAACTGAAAACTTCATTTGAATAATACAATGTAAAGATGATAAGTGTATGCACAAGTTCATTGAGATTCTTTCAACTCAGAAGCAATTGCAATTTTCAACCGTATTTTCGTCCTCATGTTCCATCCTCAAATATGCACGTCTCTTGGAAATTTCCATCTCCAAAGTATAAACTTATTAAAATATGGAGCATAAATTATTTGATGGTCTCCACATGAAATTCTTGAACACTTAGAGATATAATAAGTGGCATTGTGCATGTATAGAATTATTATAAGGTTGCTTATGATGGTCTGGAAGATAATATAGAGTTCTGCTACTAACTTGCAAGTGTCTTTTGGTGTGAAATGTTACTACATTGATAATTTAATTGCATAAACATTCTTTCAGATTACCAAATCTCGAGGGATGGCTCTTCAGCAGTTACTGCAGTTGTCTGGGCGCTTGCAACTTGTGACAGCCCAGGTCACTAATTCTGCACCAGTATCCGTTTTTAGATTCTTGAGTTGATTATTGTGGTTGTATTTTGATACACCGTCATTTTGGGCAGATCGACAAGACTGCAAATCAAACTCCATCAACAGCCCATGAAGAACAAATGGATGAAAGCGATGCTGATGAAGATGTAGAAGATCATTTCTATGGGGAAGACGATAATGAGTCAGAATTAAGTAGTGATGACGAGAAAGGTAAATGTATGTTATAGTTAATTTATGTTTTTTGTTAGGGCTCGAAACAGATGTTAAATATATTGATGTTAAAATCTACGAGAAATAAGATAGATTGGACTGATTCTGGATCGCCATCCTCTCCCTAAAACAAAGACTAGACTCGAGTTCCCAAAATTCGGATGATTCCTATGGTTCCTCTTTTCTGTTATTATCTATCTAAAGTTATGAAGTGACTTAAGATATTTAAAAAGAGTAATCATTTGTACATGCGGTTTTTGACGGGAAAAACACGTGATTTGTGTTTCCTTTCTGGTCTGTCATAAGGAATATATGTCTGTTTCTCAATCGTGATCTAACTTCTGTTTTGATTCTACATCAGGGGATACGAGGATGGAATAGTCACAGCTGCATTGTGCTGAAAGAAGAATACAAAAGGGTCATTGCAACTGACCTCCTAGTCATTTGAGGCTGCAAGTTCGGTTGCTCGTCTTCTCAGCTACACCCTGAAAATTTATTCTTGCATTCTGTTCTTCAAATCATAATTTTCCTAGCATATAAATTAATGCCTAGTAAGGTGAAGAAATTTTGCCTTTTATCCTTTTCTTTCACATGTAACATTAAAATACTGACTTGTAGTTGAGTATTTATTTAACGTGATTCCAAAGATCTAAGAAGTTGATTGGCATTGTTTATCCTCATGTTTGCTGTGAAATTGAATGTGCCAAAGTCCAGCCAAAAATAGTACGCAAAAGCTGGAACATATCTATATTGGCTGCTTTGGGATTTTTTGTTCTATTGATCAATTGAAAATTAACCACAGTTTATTAGAAATCGTAAGTATGCGATGCTTTTTTCGATATCCAGATTATTTCAGGTTTTGAATTAGGTCTACTCCAGTTCTTTACCGGAAGAATGCGTTCTGAGACCCTGGACAAGCCCATGAGGTAGGTTCCCTGACCAAACTTAGCTAACTGCGTTTAGAATTGTCTCTCGATGAGTTTTGCTTTAGTTGGTACATGATTTATTTCTTGCATTGAGAATTTGAATATGACTTTTAATCAAACTTTCAAGCCAGTGGATTACCCTTACGCTATCTTGTTCGAGTTAATGGCGGGAAAGATGCCATAGTTATTGTTGCAAACAGTTTTCCTGTGTGAACTCAATTTCGTAAACCAATGCTCTTTGTAAATGCTATAGCCTATAGGCATGCTTTCAGTATTTATGTTTTGAGGAATGTTCTTAGGGACCATTGAAATAGAATGTTTCTTTTAAATAAAGGCAATACTGCAGGAGTAGTTGTACAGGAAACTATATATTAATGTTGAAGAAGAAGTTTGCATCTTTACAGGATTCTCTCCCAATTGATGCCTACCAGGTAAGAATGCATCGGGAATTGATTCGTTTCTGCACTTACAATCATAGCATTTCATTCTTCTCTTTTGGTTTGACATGTAATTTGGAAAGCTTACTGCACCAGAGATTTATCTTTTTCCCTGCTCTGTTTTTCATCTTTTCTGTCGAAAGTTCTTGTTTCAATGTTTATCTTCCTAACGATTGTGATAAACCAGGCTTCCTTTACATTACCGTACATGAATTTGGATTCTCGTCACTGAACATCGCTGTGATATTACCATTCCCATTTTCACTTCCGTAATAACTGTTTTGATAATCTGCAGTGTAGTCTCTCCTACTGTGATACCCATACCTTGGGGGTGAGTGTGTGCTCATATACCTAGTGACGTAAGGTGATGGCCTGTGCGTGTTATAGCTGTGACTCACATACACAGGCTGAGGTTGCTCTCGTGTATTGGCGTGCCTAACCGGCGGCTCGTGTTGAAACCCTTCACTGTTAACAGATCTGACCTCTGTGTCATGTGGAAACCACTGGCTATGTGCATATCTAACCTGGGGCTCAGGAACACTTCCCGGGCTATGTGCATATCTAACCTGTGTCTCAGGAACAGTTCTCGGGCCATGTGCATATCTGACCGATGGCTCAGGAACACCTCTCAGGCTATGCACATATCTGACCGTGTGTTCAGGCATACTTCTTAGGCGATGTGTATATGCATCCGGTGGTTCATGCAGATTTGTTGGGCTAGGAGCATATCTATCGTGCGGTTCAAGCGGAAAGCGATAACTGTTGCTGTATCTATCCCAATGACTGTTATATCGATGACCACTGTAATCGTATCTATGCCCATATTCAGGAGGGTAATGATAAATCACATGAACTTCTCCGACATCTTTTTGTCCCGTTTGGTTTCCGGTGTCTTTCGCACTGTTTTCTGAAGCTGCAGGTGTTACCGACTCTGCTGCTGGTTTCTCAGGTGGCGGTTGTTCCTTCGACGGCTCGGGGTTGGGGGGGTGGAGCAGCCGCCTCAGCTGGTGAAGCAGCACCCTCGGCTTGCTGAGAAGTTTCTTCGGAAACTTGTGGCTGTGTCTCGGGATGATTGTCCACTTCGGGACCTTGTTGCCCATTCATTTCGGGTGCTACTGACATCTCAGGTTCGGTTTTCTGTTGATCTTCGTGAGAACATATGGTTGCTGTCTTCCTTGTCTTCCTAATAGCTTTGACTATCTTCTCTGGATCAGCCCAACCAACCACTGTCAACTTCTGCCCAGGGAAATCAACATAGATGTCATTTATGCCTGCATGATCGGAAAAAAAAAAACTCGGGTTAAAAAGAAACCGTGGGAACGATAAGATAAAAAGGTCGAAAGAAGTATCTATATTTTCCCGTCATTGCTTACCGTTGATGCCGTGTAGGGCTTTCTTGATCTTTTGTACACACCCGTTACAATCCATCCGGACTTTGATCTCTGTGATCCTAGGTTTCTGCATTTCACCACCACGAACATTTGAATGGCTAGAACATGTCTAATGATACAATACACAGAAAAAGACAGAAGGAGGGTGACAAAATGAATTTCATTGTGGGTTTTGAGAATGTTTTACCTCTAGCTCCGAAGCCATGGTGGGCAAATGGAGGATGAAATGAAACCCTAATGGGTTTAGAGAGAGAGAGGATGAAGAGGGGGATGTGTACATTCAGAGGAGGAATCAAAAGGGTGTGGCTTTTTATTAGGGGTTACAAAGAGGGAATATTTGAAAGGAAAAAGTGTGTGGGATTTGTCAAGAATCTCTCTTTCTTGAAATAACATTGAATTCATGTCTAACGTATTTCTTGATGAACAGACACATTTCAATATTCCCTAAATTCAAAACACAATTTTGAACTCTTCCTTGACTGCGGACCGTCCTTGTAAAAAGAGACATCGTTATAGTTAAAAAAAAGGAATATTTATTTAAAAATATAAAAAAAAATACATGAATTTTGTGAAGGTAATGCAATTAATGGAATGCCCTGTCAAGGAATCATTTTGCCACAACAAAACGTGTAACATTATGAAATCGAAAATTAGCGATTCATGGATGGCGAAAGTATTCCCTTTATCCCACCTTCTGCCCTCTTTTTTATGTTGACTTTTTTTTTAATATATTTTCATCATATTATTATTTGTTTTGATTTTTTTTAATTTAATCTTTGGAAATAAAGTTTGATGGAGACTAAGAGTTGCATATTCTCTTCTAAAGGGCTTAAAAGCTTTGTGCACAAACTTGAAACTTGTCATGAAAACTATTTTTCATTATGGAAAAGTCCCTTTCTAGATTTTGTTCACATTGATTAATATTTAATATGATCTTTTTTGTTTTCATCCGTCTAAGAGAATTAATGTAAATATATTTTCAAATTTTATCGGAACTTTTTAATTTTGTAAATAACTAGAAGATATGGTCATTCTTGCATTCCGTTTTCTAAGGTTAAAAGGAATAGTTAATTTGGTGAACAAATATTTCTTTCACTATATATTATTTCTTTTGTTAACGCTATATATGATTTACTATGTTCTTTTGGTAAGTTTATTATGATATTGTACATTATGAATATTTAACCTTATGAAAGTGACCTTTTCATTGCATCAATAATCGTGGAATTGAGAATATGATGCTATGAATACAAAAGTTTGATGAAAATGTGGAAGTGAGACTGAAATATAGAAATTAACCTTTTCATTATATCAATAATCGATGAAATACATGTGACCCACATACAAGAGGATCACACGGTTTATTCGATACAACAAATTGAATAACACCGAAGACGAATGCCACTCAAAGTTTACAGAAAATCATAATTCCATCACGAAAATAAATGATTCATAGAAAATATGCAAGAAAATTTGAAGAATAATCTTGGATGTCGAATGGAATCCAATCGATCATTTCTTAATCGCACTCAATGCACTTTAATAGTACGAAGGTGTAGGAGTTTTGTACTCAGTCTTTGGGGAAGGAGAATAATATGGTGGAGGAGGTGGAGAAGTGTAGACATATGGGGGTGGTGGAGACTTGTATTCTGCCTTAGGGGCTGGCGAATAGTACGGTGGTGGTGGTGGTGAATTGTATGTATACGGTGGAGGTGAAGATTTGTACTCAACCTTTGGAGAAGGAGAGTAATATGGTGGTGGAGGTGGAGAGCTGTAGACATATGGTGGGGGAGGAGATTTATACTCAACTTTTGGAGATGGTGAATAATAAGGTGGTGGAGGTGGAGATTTATAGACATATGGTGGTGGAGGTGACTCATACTCAACCTTAGGGCTTGGTGAATAGTATGGTGGGGGTGGTGGAGAATTGTATACATAAGGTGGAGGTGGAGATTTATACTCAACCTTGGGGGAAGGAGAGTAATAAGGAGGTGGTGGTGGAGAAGTGTAGACGTATGGAGGGGGAGAGGACTTGTACTCAACTTTAGGGGTTGGCGAGTAGTAAGGTGGAGGTGGTGGAGAACTGTATACATATGAAAGGGGAGGAGACTTGTACTCGACCTTTGGAGAAGGAGAGTAATACGATGGTGGAGGTGGGGATTTGTAAACGTATGAGGATGGAGGAGATTTGTAGTAAACTTTCGGAGAAGGAGTGTGGTATGGGGTAGGTGGTGGGGAGTTGTAAATATATGCATGAGGTGGTGATTTATATACAATCTTAGGAGATGGAGAGTAACATGGAGGAGGTGGGGGGCAAACGCAAACGTGTGGGTAAGACGGTGATTTGTACTCAACCTTTGGAGAAGGAGAATAATAATGTGATGGTGGGGGAGATTTGTAAACGTAGGAGGTTGGAGGTGACTTGTACTCCACCTTTGGACCAGGTGAGTAGTAAGGCGGTGGTGGAGATTTGTATACATATGGAGATGGTGGAGACTTGTAATAAACTTTTGGAGATGGGGAGTAGTATGGCGGTGGAGGTGGAGAACTGTAAACGTAAGGGGGAGGTGGAGACTTGTAATAAACCTTCGGGGATGGAGAATAGTAAGGGGGTGGTGGAGACTTGTATACGTACGGTGGTGGTGGAGATTTGTAATCAACCTTTGGAGAAGGTGAATAGTATGGCGGTGGAGGTGGAGAACTGTAAACGTAAGGGGGAGGTGGAGACTTGTAATAAACCTTCGGGGATGGAGAATAGTAAGGGGGTGGTGGAGATTTGTATACGTACGGTGGTGGTGGAGATTTGTAATCAACCTTTGGAGAAGGTGAATAGTATGGCGGTGGAGGTGGAGAACTGTAAACGTAAGGGGGAGGTGGAGACTTATAATAAACCTTCGGGGATGGGGAGTAGTAAGGTGGTGGTGGTGGAGATTGGTATACGTACGGTGGTGGTGGAGATTTGTAATCAACCTTTGGAGAAGGTGAATAGTATGGCGGTGGAGGTGGAGAACTGTAAACGTAAGGGGGAGGTGGAGACTTATAATAAACCTTCGGGGATGGGGAGTAGTAAGGTGGTGGTGGTGGAGATTTATATACGTACGGTGGTGGTGGAGATTTGTATTCAACCTTTGGAGAAGGTGAATAGTATGGCGGTGGAGGTGGAGAACTGTAAACGTAAGGGGGAGGTGGAGACTTATAATAAACCTTCGGGGATGGGGAGTAGTAAGGTGGTGGTGGTGGAGAGTTGTACACGTACGGTGGTGGTGGAGACTTGTATTCAACCTTTGGAGAAGGTGAATAGTATGGCGGTGGAGGTGGAGAACTGTAAACGTAAGGGGGTGGAGGAGATTCGTAATTTACTTTAGGAGCTGGTGAATAGTATGGCGGTGGCGGAGGAGAATTATAGACATATGGGGGCGGTGGAGATTTGTATTCAATCTTTGGCGATGGGGAATAATAAGGTGGTGGTGGTGGAGATTTGTAGATGTACGGAGGTGGAGGAGACGCGTATTCTACTTTTGGGGACGGAGAGTAGTATGGTGATGGTGATGGGGCTATCGGAGACGGAGACTTGTACTCTGTCTTTGGTGACGGTGTTGGTGGAGAAGGATACGTGTATGACTCAGAGGCGGAAACAACAATCGTAGCCATGACGGTAAAGGAAAGAGCATAGACGAGCCCCATCCCAGGGGAAGAAGCCATTCTTTTTTTTTTTTGGTTTCTTCACCAACACCTCTTTTGTGTTTTGTGATTTGGATCGTGGATGGTGTCGGCCCTTTTATAGAGCCTCCGAGATCGGTTCTGTCTTTTCTTTTAATCCAATTTGGTCGTGTCGCTGCCTGCAACCTTCGAAGACGTGAACCCATGTTCCAGAGAATTATTGCGAAACATTTGAAGAAGTCGTGGGATGAACGTGCCATTCTGCATTCTTATATGTCGCTTGGATGGTTAATTTGGTCATTCCATTGAAATAATTCACTCAATTTGTTTTTGTTAATTTATTATACATAATGTATAATTTACATTACATTTATACCTCAATAGTCAAGTCGATTTAGTTTATCTTACAACAATGGCTCTTTCGCATTATGATGTTTTGTTTAAGATTTTAATTTACTGATTTTCTTAAGATAAACTACTAAATAAATACGATTGAAATTACAAATTTGAATCATTGGACAAAAATACCCTCGGAAAATCTCAAACTGATGGGCTTGTGATTTTTTTATTTATGGGCCAATTCGAACTCAAAATCCGAGTCGGGCCGAGTCAAACCGGCCCGTTTACTCTCCCACTTAAAATGCATATTCATAAATAAATTAAGCACAAAAACCCATTATTTACAATTAAAAAAAATAATCACTTTCGGTATATATTCTGATTCCGATGCATCACAATATCATAATTTGATTGGTGCATATACATATGTATATATGTGTGTGTATACACTCGGGTCGATTTATGTCACTTTGGGCCCTCAAGCATGAAGATTTAGACTTTCCTCTAAGACAAAATTTGTTTGGAAAACTCCTTTCTGTTTCTGTGTTGTTTTATCACACAAACAAACACAAAAGGACCATACAAAAGTACTTTTAAGTTTGAATTGAATCCACCACACGTGCAAAATTTTTTAAATAAAAATGTCGGTATAACATTCCAAAATACCATTCCTTTATTTATTCCAATAAGCTTTTATGTGACACGTTTCCGAATTTTATAAACAATAAATTTCTCTTACTAAAAATAAAAATGGATCATATATCTCGGATATTTTATATAGTTTACGAAAGTATGCGTTCGTAAACCTAATTTGATCAAATGGTTATCGAATATTAAATCAAATACGGCAACGTTCTACAGATATCTGTCACACGGAAGCTCACACGATGTACAGAAAAAATAAAAATAAAATACAATACAATAAAATACGAATATATATTGTATGGTTAGTGTTATTGGACGGAAGATTCATTGAATTTTTTAATTATAAAAAAAAAGATATTATTTGATTTATAAAAAAAAGGGTGCAGTGCAAAAGCAAATACCGCTTTGTTTCAACGGTTGGTGTCTGATCTCAAACATCATTTAGAATTTCCAAACTCTAATTTCAAAAGATTATATACAATCAACTAATGATGCATAAAAAAAAATCTATTTTTGTCGTCCATTCGGTTAAAAAGTTGGTGTCGGAATCTAAGGGTCGAGATTAGGGCTGGGCGTTTCGGTTCGGTTCTTCGGAACCGGACTGAACCGATCCGTTAAAACAATATTTTTCTCGACCCGAAACCGCTGTTATTTTCCGAACGGTACCATTTTAGAGAACCGAATTTTTCCGGAACCGAACCGAACTTTAAAAATTCTGAAAAACCGAATATTTTTAAAGGAAATCTATCATTTTTTTAATAAAACCCGAAACCGAACCGAACCGATACCAAAACCGAACCGAACCGAATACAATAAATAACCCGATTGATACCTATTTTTGTAAAACCGAAAGAACCGAACCGATTTATTCTGTCCCGAATCCGAACCGTTTCCCGAAACGCCCACCCCTAGTCGAGATGGACATTTTCCGTTATTTTTAGTTTCAGATTTGTTTTGAAAAATGCATTATTTAGTTTGATTCACTTGTTTTTGATAATTTTTTATTATCATTTCATTCAAATTATATAACTAATTTTGTTTAGAATTTAACTCAAAAATAGTTATGTGTGTTATTTGCTTCGAATGTATAAAAAATAAACATCATTTAAAACCTTTTTAAAAAGGTTATGTGGTCAGACGTTGGGTGAAACGGTTGATCCAAAGTGTCAATCATTTTGATCCCTTCCATTATCAAGTTTTGTTTACGGGTTTTCATTTGTTTTTCTTTATTTGTTGATGATCATCATCCAAATTGAATTTGGACAATTGTTTAACATGAAAAAGTAAACTAATCTGAGATTATCATCAAATAAATTAAATATATCATAACTTCAAAATATCCAATACGAAAAGTCTATTGAAATGATTTAAAAAAGTATATATTTAAAAATAATGATATTGAATGATCACCGATATACACGCAATCTTATAGATCAATACAGATAGATTAGTTTATGCGCGTGTACGATATATTATTATTATTATTATTATTTAAACTACGTTATATCAAAAATATATTTACTTTGCTATTCTTACTTCAACACATATTTTCTCCAATCGTGATAATGTGATCAATATGACCCAAAATATAGTGGATCATATTTTGATTTTATTGATTATAACATTAAATTTATGGTGATTTCACTAATTTATTATGTTCATATATTTCATATCTTACTAATTATTTGATTTAAACGTCATAAATTTAGTGTTATATATGACCATATTTAGAGAATGGTATATGTTGAAATAACAAAAAAAAAGATAAGGTTATTTTTTATAATGACACTGTTTAAACTTGTCAAAGATATGAAAAAGAAAGTAATTTCAACGACGGGTCATTTTTAGCTTTGGTCTTCTTGTCCCCACCAAGTAGTACCTAAATCCCATCTATTGCTAAAGAAGAGGCAAGTTACAAAAACGTACAAGAACCCCGATGTGAGGAATATCAAAGAGAGGGGTATTTTGGTCATTTTCCAAACCTGTCCCGTTCCGTAGAAGGAATCTCCGACAATTACGGCCTCTGGATAATGCTGACGCCGTCCACACAGAGTCAAAAGCGTAATAAGATATAGATACGATGACTCCTAAATAATAAAGTTTAAAACCTCATTGACATTTAGACGTATATATTAGATGAAATTAAAATCTAATACATTTATTTATTTCAATATCAATCCCAACACTATTCAATTTTTAATTACTGTAGATTTAATCTATTAGTTTTAATTTACAAAGTGGAGCTGCTATAAATATCATGTTACATGAATGATGATTAGAAAATTTTGTAACAAAATAAAAAAAATCAGATGTTACTGGAAAGTGGAAACTGAACTGAAGTTACTTCCATAAATAATACATAAATTAAATATTTTTTGTTTTAAAATTCAAATTTCACAATAAAAATTTATACCGTTAGCTAACGCCGTCAAGACTTTAACCTTTAGGAAACAAAAAAACAGGCGCCCCCTATTAATAACTCAACGTGACATATAATTAATTTATTCATATTTATTTTATTTCTTCTCAAAAGTCACGACGAGCTAAATAAATTGAATTCATCGACAGAGGGTAAGAAAAAAATCTGTTTGAAAACAAATCAACCCCGGTATATTTAGAGAGAGAAATTGAAGAGAGAGAGAGAGAGGTGTTCGCGTTTGCTCCTGCTCCAGAGAGAGAGAGAGAGAGAGAGAGAAACAGGAGATCTGGCAAGAATCGTAAGAATTCCTCAACATTCTTTTAAATTTCTTTCTTGGATTTTCTCTTTCTGGGTCTTTTTTTAATTCTTCTGTTCTTGCGTGGTCGTTAACTTGTTCTTTAGCTATTTGGACATTCTTTTCTATGGAAAGAGCTGTGAGGATTCAGTGTTCTGATTTTTGTTCTGGTTGATGAAGCTATTGGTGTTTACTTGTTTCATCTTCTTGAAACCGATTATCACTTAGGGGGCATATCGCGATGACAACGGCAAACCTGTTGTGTTGGATTGTGTAAGAGAAGCCGAGCGAAGGATTGCTGGGGCTTCGTATATGTAAGATTGCTGCTTTCTTTCCCTTACGCTTCTGTCGATTGCCTTCCGATCTCTTAGGTTCTTTTCTATTTGTTTGAGTCCTCTCTATCCTCTTATCTTTCTGGAATTTTTTTTTTGATTCATCTGTTTCAGTTTCATATATTTCCATTTTTTTTTGGCGGCAGGAACGTCGTTCAGTCTTATGTTCTTGGTGTATGTTGTGGAATTCAACAATTTCTTCAATTTATGGAAGAAATTGTTGTAACTTCTTATGTTTTTGGAAGAAATAGTATTGATTTCTTAAATTTCGTGTGTTCTTATTATAAAGTGGTAGCTTGTCTTATTTTCCATCCTGGAACATAGATCCATACAAATGATACATCAGAAAGCTTATGACGCATGATACAATGGGTTCCGTTCTCTGTCGGGGCGAAACTTTGTCTGCCCGGTCTTGAAATCTTGGGGTTTGCGTGAACAAGGCAAATTTTTCTGGTGAATGGACCCTTTTTTTTTCCTCCTTCGCTGTTTTGAGATTTAGTGGACATCTCTCTTGATGTAGAGGTAATGGGGAGAGAGCTGGTCGACATACACATGGATAAGAAGTCAAGCAGTTTTGTGGCACATTCAAATGGGTCGTCTGATGGTAATAAAATCCATGTCTCTCCTAAGATCTCGGACAGCAATATCGAGGCTGAGACAGTGAAGGAATGGACTGAGCAGAGCTTGGTCGGTAATGATGCCCATGAGGGACAAGAAGTTCTTGGTGTCAAAAGTACAAATTTTGAGGGGAGAAATGAGAAACCCGGCTCCCAGAAATCTTCTGGTGATAAGAATCTGAGCTCCCGGGCCAATGGGAACGGCACTGTCACGAAGCCATTTGCTCTGGCAACTGAGAAGCGTGCAAATGGAAACCATTCTTCAGGAAATGGTAACAGCACAACCTCTCCCACTGCATCAAAAGGTTCACTGGTAATGAAGCTCAGTACTTTGTATAACTCATCTTTATCTCTCCTTAAAATTTTAAAGAAATGAAATCTGTTGTTTCTGAACCCATGCTTCAGTTATTCTTTGGTTAGTAGTTCCTAGGGCCATGTGGATCTTCTCTATCATGATTTGATCAAATTGACTAACCTTCCTCGTATAACAAGTATTGAACTTCTGCAGCACCATTTTAGATCTATTGGTGTTTCAAGTGATTGTTGAATGGAACTGATAAATTTTTTCATTTTTTTAATCTTTATCGTTAGCCCAATTCTCCCCTCACTGCCAGGAAGCCCACAGAGTACAAAAAGCATCGCGATGAAGAGGATAGTTGGTCTGTTGCTTCCTCGTATCCTTTCCATGAAACTAGATGCTTACATACACAAAGTTGTTTTCGAGCATCTATGTTTTGTTGTGATTTTAAGGCTTTGATGATCCTTAGCGACGCATAGCTCAGTTTCCTCCATGAAAACAATTAAACCCAAGGTAACAATTGGAGTTGCTCCAACATTTAGGAGTACCGCGCGGTTGGAGAGACGAAAAGAGGTACTTTATTCGTTAGTTGTCACTATCGGATACCGTTTTTAGAACTCTTTATCATTTGTGCCACTCTGCTAATTTCCTATGCGATTGGGTTTCAGTTTTACCAAAAGTTAGAGGAAAAACACAAAGCACTCGAGGAAGAGAAACAAGAGAACGACCAAAGGCTTAAGGTGTGTATACATACACCTATGGATGTGTGTATATATGTATGTATTGTCTATCTACATTGATGTGCATGTGTGTATTGTTTTTCTCCGCGTGATAATACCGTCTTCACACAATTTCTTGAGATGATGACAGAAAATGCGCTTCATTTTGTTTAGAAATAGCATGAATCTGCATTCTGCAATTACAGACTATATAGTGTTTAATCTCCCATAACAATGCGGTTCTTGCACGTCTTCGTGAAATGGTTTTTTATTCAGGAAGCAGGAGTTGCAAGTTATATATTATGCTTTATTCTGTATGATATCTTGTTCTTGTTCATGTTCTCGGAATATATGATGAAGAAAATGTCGTCTATCGTCTTTAGGAAGAGCAAGAAGCAACAATTAAGCAGCTCCGTAAGAGCATGGCTTACAAAGCTAATCCCGTACCGAATTTCTATTACGAGGGTCCTCCACCAAAAACCGAACTAAAGAAGGTATGTTAACAAAACCTGTCTCTTCGCTGCAATTTTTCACCTATCGGTTGTCCAGAAATAACAAAAATGTTGACACAACGTTCACATGAAAGACGGATTTTGGTTAACAACATCCGCATTTTCAGAAATCGGATTTCGGCTTTGTCTCTGTTTGATTAATAAGAAGCTTCTATAACTTGTAAGCTTCCCTTCCATGCTGAGTTCCCTTCTTCTTTGTTGAAGTGCAGTAAGACAGAGACAAAGCATTAGCTTATCACCATAGCTGGGCTGGTTTTTGTACATAGTTTATGGCGGTTCTAAGCCATCATAGATTTATCACCCTGCTTAAATAATGTATATATATACAAAGAAGAGGATGGAGCTTTAACATTCTACACCTTTGTTTGCACAGTTACCACTCACTCGGCCCAAGTCGCCAAACCTCAACCGAAGAAAGAGCTGCAGTGATGCGGTTAAATCATCGTGTCAAGAGGAGAAGGGGACGCATTGTGATCGATACCGAAACAGCATGGATGGCTGCAAGGGAGAGGCCAGAGCCACCAATAGCCCAAGGTTCAAGGCGTTGGCGAACAACAACAGCCCGAGGACGACTCCCAAGACCAGCGGGAATCATCCGAGAAAACACACAAAGGGTTCTCCTAAGTCCGCCCCTGAGAAACTCTCGAGAGCAGAGAAAGCGACAGCCCGAACAAGCGGAGAAACCCATGAGAAGATCACTGGTGAGACCACCGGAACTGACTCTGGTGTCGCTGTTGCGTGATGAACGCGAAATGCGAGTCTTAGTTTCTTCAACTGACATGGAGAGTGAGAAAACAAGAAAAAGGGTAACAAGAACAAGATCTGAGGTATCCAGGAAACAAAAAAACAAGAACTTGATCTAAAATTTCCATATTTTTTCTGAAAGTGATGGAGGAAAACGACTGTGCTCACTTGTTTATTTTGTGTTTCTGCGGCTGAAATGACTGCGTTACTTTGGTTTGAGAACTGATGTGAAATGTATATTAAGGTTGTTTTTCTCCTTTGAGATCACATTGGTATAAATGAATCAAAGTGTCTCATGGTCATACACAGATTAAAAAATCAAAGGGCAGTTGTGTAAATACGATAAAGTTAAGTATATGTAGCTAGTTTTTAAAATCAAATTTAACGTAAAATACATTAAAAATTAATTCAACATTTATAGCAAAACCACAAAAAAAAATTACGAATATTGGACAGGAACTAGAGTAGTCTATTATATATTGCACAAAAAACAAAAACACATATTTCGCCAAAATACCGCAAGATTCCAGATTTCCATAACTACCCAAACTTCACTACCAAATTTACATTACCTACCCTTTCCCCCCACAACCAAACACACGTTCACTTCTTCCCTCTCCTCCCAACCTCCTTCGCCGGCTTTTTCGCCGGCGATTTAACGCTCTTTGGCTTCCTCACCGGAGACTTCACACCCTTCGCCTTCTTCATCGGAGACTTCACGCTCTTCGGTTTCTTCGGATTTTTTGCCGGCGTAACTTTGTTCTTCGTTGTCGCCGCCGCAGCACCGTTTTTTCTCGCCTTCTTTGACGGCGAATTCTTCTCCACCGCCGCCTTCCTCTTCACTCCGCCGGCGGTTCCCGCCTTCTTTGGCTTATCTTTCTCCGACAGAGCAGATTTCTTCACCGGAGCTTTAGCCTTAGGTTTGGCCACAATGGCGGAAGCAGGAGATAGTTTGAACGAGTTCTTCACCTTGACGAGCTTTCCAGAGGCAACAAGACGCTTTAGTTGAATCAGAAGAAGCTTCCTGAAATTCCCAGGCAATTGCTTGTGATTCTCCTCAATGTACTTCGTGATCGCGTACTGGCTCGATCCTGACCTCTCCTTCAAAGCCAATATCGCGTCCGTGATCATCTAACACAAAACGAATGGATTCAGAGTAAGAATTTCAAACTCTCGGACTGAAAAACAGCAACGTAGCAACTTTACAGCATTCAGATCCAGAATCTCCTACTCGTGACCCCCGAATATCAGAATTAAATCAGAGAAAAAGATGAAACACGGCATCGCAATCGCAGAGACGAGATTCATGGAAAGAGGAATCGAAACACACCCAAGTAAATAAGAATCAGAAGAAAGCAAATCAAAGAACCAGATTGAGAATAGGGTTTGTGAAGAACTTACAACTACAAAAGGAGGATGCGAAGAAGCCGGGCGTGATTTCTTCGGTGCCACAGTGTTCTTCGCTTTGGTTTCCTTGACTGACTTCGGTTTCTTTGGTTTCGTAGCATCATCGCCGGAGAGAGCTCCGGTCACTGGTGGTGCAGAAGAAACGGAAAAAGAGGCCATAACGAAGAAACAGAGATTCTTCTTACTGAAAGACAATGAAAGAGAGGGCGTTTTGGTTTTCCAAAACTACACGGACGGTGGAGGAGGTTTATATGGCGAGAGTGACACGAGATTAGATGGCATGTGATTGGTTGAGAAGATGTGACGCGGATCGATATAGTTTTTTAAGAATATGAAATCTGGACCGTTGATGTAAAGTCTTATAGACGGTTAGGATGTAGAGTATAGACTGACGTGGATCGTGGTTCAAAAGCCGTGGGTTTTCAAAATTCAATTCAATTACACCTCCTTTTATTGAGATCTATGTTGATATTATATTGGTAAATAATTGTTTTAAATTTTAATTCATTACTAGTTTATAAAAGACACTATAATAGTTGAATTATGCGATCTTTTAAAAATGAACTCTAATATATATGAGAACGATCTGGTTAACGATCAATAACAATATTATCATCGGAAATTATCGAGTAATTGAACAATAAAAAAAAAACTAGGTTGTCTATTCTCTGTGATGGACTTCAGGGCTCTATTGTTAATTGTGAAACATCCTCTGGAAAAAAAAAAAAAAAAAGCAGTTGGCAGTGCCAACGCTGGGATTGACAGAAAGCAAAGAACCGTAAGACAATCAAGCATCTCTGTGTTTTTTTTTTAACATGAAGATTCCTTACTGTAACATCAGAATTTCCATTAGTATACGCTATGTTTGGAAAAATAAGGTTGCTCCAAAATCAGATACCAAAGTGTTTTTTTTTTTTTTTGGTACTCTGTCATAAAAATCCAACAACGACCCATCAAAAATGGCGAAAACAGAAATTTACAAAAAAAAAAAAAAAACCCTGCATTTAACTACTGAGAAATGAGCGGTTGAAACTTCAATGACTCAAATTTAAACCTTATTTCTTTTCCTACGGTTAAACCTCTTTCTTGATTATATATGCATCACCAAAAACCCAACAGAAATACCTTCTTCGCCCTTTTTTTTTCCCTCTCGGGGCGAAGAAGGGGACAGTTTTTTTTTTTTTTTGCAAGAAAGCGAGATTCCGGATTATAAACCCTAGAATCTCTTGATCCATCATCCCCTTTCTGTATCGGCGGCTCGGTCACACTTGAAGAAGATCTATCATACATAGTTTTGCCTCAGGTAAACGGCATTGCTTCTAACTTGTGCCGTACGGCAACTAAGCATGTAGCCCTACCGTGTACCTCAAGGCATCTTCTTTGTTCTATGATCATTATATTTTGAAACCAATGCTAACCTTTTTAGTTATGTTTCTGATGCAGCGAGTTAATATTAGTCTCCGGAAAAAAAAAGAAAATAATGGTGATGGTCGGAGAAGCCCTGAGTCTGTCAACCTCGTCATCCTCGTCGCTATGCGAATCAGAAGTCGACGAGCTAGAGAATATGCTGTTGCATCCGCCGAGGCTCCCCACCAAGAAACGCCTCTCGAAACAGCTCTCGATGTGCGAGACGAGGCGTGACATCGCCTGGGAGCGCCGCCGCCGCCAGATGCTCTTTCCCGGCCGCAAACGCGGCGGCGGCCGAGGAGAGACGGACCAGAACTGCGGCTTGACGGACGAAGATCTCAGAGAGCTCAAAGGGTCGATCGAATTAGGGTTTGGGTTTAACGAGGAAGAAGGGCAACAACTCACGAGTACCTTGCCTGCTTTGGATCTTTACTTCGCTGTTACCCGACAAATCTCACCAGTTTCCACTCCGGGAAGCGGAGGATCTACGTCATCTTCGTCGTCGTCCATTCTCGGTGACCGGTCGTTGTCCTTTGGCAGCCCGAGGGGCGACTCCGACTCGTTAAAAATTCTTTCCCCGGGTAAGGGCGCTCATTCATATATATATATATATATATAATAGATAGATGCTTGTTCCGTGAGAAACCGGGCTTAATTAATGATATGATTAAGAATTAAAATATTTTATTCTAGTTAATTGGAGAATGGTGAAATTAGTTAAATTGTAATAATGTAATTAGAGTCGATGTTTGGAGAGCTCCTAATGATATAAAAAAGAAAAACTTAAGATGGATACTAGTTAATAGGTTCAAATTGTTAACTTGGCTGTTTTCTTGAAGGGTATTTATGTTAGAAATATTTTTATTTATTAAAATCTAATTAAATTTGGGCGATTATTATTTTATTAAAATTGACCGTTCTAATTAAATGTGATCCAGGGGACGACCCTCAGCAGGTGAAAACAAGGCTAAGGCATTGGGCACAAGCTGTGGCATGCTCTGTCATGCAATCTCACTGATGATACCACACACACACAAATAGAGTGGTTAAGAGACTAATTTTACGGAAGCAAATTTTATAAAAAGGTTGTGACTGAAATGCAAAATGAAAAAGATTCAGGGGTTTTTCTGAAAATTTTTATTTTTAGCAAATAGATAATAGCCTTTTGTTAGGGATTTATATTTTTTTTCTTCTTCATCTGTTTTACTATGTAATTTATGGCCTTTATAGACTAACGTCAAACTTTCTTTTGGCTAGAAAAAATAAAAATAAAAATTAATTATATATATATAAATTAATTTTGGATTAAAGATTTAATCTTTATAAACCGAAAAATTGAATCCCAATCGAACGTCAAAATATTATAATACCTGATAATTTTGGTTGTCCTATTTGGTAATTTGGTCGTTTATAAATTATAATAGATAATAGATATCACTAAATATTATAATACCTAATATTATGTTAAAAGCCCCCTTTTTCTGTTCATTTTTTTAATTATAAACATTAATAAAAAGTGAATTTATTTCGAAAATAATATATCATTCAAAAGACAAAAGAGAAAAGGAGAATGTTGTCAGCTTTCGACCTTTAGCCAGCTTTGCAGGTTGCAACCAATGGCGAAACGATAAAGAATTCGATCCGACGACAATGCATGCACAAATGCGGTGTATATACACACAAATCTCTCTCAAAATCCCCAAGATTCTCCAAGAACCCAAGAAGATCCCGAAACTTCACTCCGTTTCCCTCGCATAATCTGCAAAAACCAAATCGGGAAATGGCTCTGAAATCTCCGCCGTACGGTCACGGTACCTCCGCCGCTGGCTCCGGCGGCGGAGCACCTAAATTCTCCGGCACAACCGTGGCGATGATCGCGCGCGCGAAGCAGACGACGCAGTCTGTGATTGCGACGCTTCGGCCATGGCGAGAGCTCTTGGACCTCTCGTCGCTCTCTCTCCCTTACTCGTACGAGGAAGCCATGGCGCGTGTTAGGCACAATCTCGGCTACTTCCGTGGGAACTACGCGTTCGCCGTCCTAGCCGTCGTCTTCCTCGGCCTCATCTATCACCCTTTCTCTATGATTGCATTCATCGTCGTCTTCGTCGGTTGGATTCTCCTCTACTCCTCCAGAGACGCCACCGACCCGATTTCGATCTCGGGTCGGGTCGTAGACGACTGGATCGTGCTCGGAGTTCTCAGCTTGGTCACGGTTTTGGCTTTGGTTTACACAGACGTCGGTGAAAATGTATTGGTTTCATTGATCGTCGGTCTGGTGATCGTCGGAGCTCACGCCGCTTTCCGGTGTACGGACGATTTGTTTCTCGACGAAGAAAGCGCGCGGCAAGGTGGGCTCGTCACCGCCGGCGGAAGACGGAGTACTTCAGGATATCATCCGATCTGAGTCGCCGGGCAAAATGTTACTAATTTTGGGTTTTGCTTGAAACCGAAAGGATTTTGGCTTGAACTTTGAAATTCCCAGGATTCAGGGATGAGATTTTTTGTGTCAACTGGGTATCGTACTTGTGGAAATTGTTGAAAATTTTGATTCTGCATTTTTGCTGATGTGAGCATTCGCCTGCAAATGAAAGCTCGTCCTCTTGAATTCTATTGGGCGTGTTCATTCCATGTTCCTGTCGAGCATGTTATATGCGAGAACTTGAACAAAACACTGCCATTGATGAATCATGGATTCCGTAATCGCAAACTTTTTGGCACAACAAAACAGATTCGTATACTCAAGAAACTCTAGTCGAATTCATACAGTCAACATTACAAATGCCATACCGAGAAATCCGAACTAAACATTGGGTTGGAGAAACAAGGTAAGTTTTCTCGGTCAGTGAAGGTTTCTTATAACCCGGACAGAAAGAAGCAAACATCCAAACAACGAGAACGCTAAGTGTGATATGGAAAAAGATTAAACCGAGTTCAGTACGTGATTCTTAGGTTAACCTGTTGTTATCAGTCTTCTTCGAGATTGATGGAATCCTTGAACTTTGCATACAAGATTTTCTTCAGCTCCGCCATTTGCACAACAATGGTTTCCTTCTCTTCCTCGAGCTTTTCGAGGTCCTTGCTAGTCACATCTTTCATCTCCTCTATCCTCGTCTCTACCTCTTCCACTGGCACATGAACAAAGACTTCTCCAATTTGGAACCGAACGATTTCCTCATCCGCCAGAATCAACTCGTTGCCTGCGTCCTCTAGATTGTCACATTTTTCCTGGCAAAAAGACGACGTGGCGAAATTTGAAGCAAACTAACAAGAAACCACCGCAATATAACCATCATAGAAAACATGCTGCAAAACAATAATACATCTAAAGATGCGAAGCTCTGCGTAAAACATAATGGTCTGACTTGATAATCCACAAATGGCCATGAGTCTACCACAAAGGAAAAAGCCACAATGAGAACTTTCATGGAGGTAGCGCAGTAATGGTTCCGAGTACTATACCTCCGAAAGCCAATTATCAATCCCAGATTTTCCCTTTTCACAAAACCCATATGAATGTGATCTCATGGACATTTTAACTGGTCTTATGAGCAGCCAAATATAACATCCAGGGTTCTATCCGCAATGCAATATTAGATCCACTAAAATAGCAGAACATTTAAGCCAGAAAGGGTACCATTACCAAAAGATCGGATCAATGAAAAAAAAGAAATTTCATAGAAAATCCTGCAATCAAATCCTTTATTTATCCAAGGACATCCGTCCAATTCAAAACATCGCCCCCTGTTCTCCCTGACACTTGGATTGATCCTATGAGAAGCCAAAATGACACCCAAGCTTCCATCCTTAATGAAACATCCAATCCACTAAACCAGCTGAAACATGAACTCAGATACAGCATCGGAAAATCGAATCACTTCACACAAGAAACCTAAAACCCTAGAATCGAGTACTACAGACAGAAACAAATGAAACCCAAAATCGAAATCCAGCCGTCGAGTGAAGAAGCTAAGTACAAAATCATCAAACCCATTCTGATAGAAATTTACCTTGGCGGCTTTGATTTCGTCTTCGAGTTCATGGAACCTGTTGTTCAATCGACTGAACTTGTTGATGTTCTGTTGATCTTCCCACGTCACTTCCGTTTCAGACCCACCTCCCTGAAAATCACACAGTGCGTTGGATCAACCAATCGAGACACCTCAAGAAAATGCAGGAGATGAAAATAATCGAAACAGCGAAATCTAAAAGACCTCACCTGCTGCATTTCGTCTCTCTCTCTTTTTCCTTGGAGAGGGAAAAGAAGGAAGAGAAACAAATTGAGGGGGGTAAAAATATAACACATGCATGATGTTTCTAATATATCATATTGGGTTCTATATTGGGCCTCGGCCCATTTCGAATGTGGCAGTTTAGAACACGGTGGACATTTCCGTTCGATTCCAGTTCCGTTATAGATAACCATATAGTATATATAGAAAATAAATGGATTATAAATTCTTTAAAACTAAAAATATCAAATAATATAAAAATAATTGATTTTTCTAAACGAATATTTTTATCCAAAAATAGAAACCGAAACAAATTGAATCGAATATAAAAGCTAAAAAGCGAATTTAAATCGATAGTACGTCGGATGCTTCACGGTCTCGTCAAGGTCCGGACCAGATGAAGCATTTGCTCATGATTGTAAAAGAACTTAATTTTGTTGATTAATCGATTTACCGTTATCAAAAAAAAATTTCGTAACAGAAGGAACCATCACGATCATTCGTTGGCGGAGTAAATCCACTCGTTTCATGCAATAGCCTGCAAACCATGTGGAACAAGTAAAGCGAAATGGATTTTGAAGAAGATGAAACCACTCTCAGAACCTTACTCTCCACCAACATTTTCACCTCAGCACTGATGTTCAAGAAGTTACTAAGCAAGACAACAATATGCTCATATATACATATACATATACGATATATATATATATATATATATATATATATATATATGCTTGAAAGGGAGTTATTCTGTCTCCTTGGAGCTGGGAGCTCCTTCTTGTCTCTGGTCGTTGCTTACTGCCTTGGGCTTGTCACCTTCGCCATCAGCAAGAGCCTCCGCCGGTTCCTTCTTCAGCTCCGATTCAAATTCCTTTGCCGCCTGTAACAAATCCACATATACACCATCACATCCATGTTTACTTACAGTTGCACACGCATGTTAATGTATCATGTATGTAATATCATGTATCATACATCATACATGTTGTATGTTAAAAGGGGTCACAATCTAGATCCATCTCCAAAAGCAATTCAGCTCTGAGGCTGAAACTTGTCGACATGGTAGCAAAATGGTGCAAGAATCAAGCTATGGGCATGGAAGTCCTGTGAAGGGCTTCAACTTTCCATTGTTCATGTTACAACAGAAAGTTATATGCGTAGATAGATAGATATTCACACATACATATACAAAATTGCATCGACGAAAACATGATATACGGTATGTGCACCAAAAAGACGAAAAGCTAAGCAAGAAAACTATGGAGACTCCTTTTGGCAAGAGAACCCTGTACGGTTTCGACTCTTTTGGCCTTTGAACCATGAAAATACTTTTCAATTCAAAACCCCTCAATTTGAGGGGCGATCAGATAGCTAACTTAAGTAACTATTGAAACAAACTCGAAAGGGAAACCCGTAAACTAAGACATATATTATCAAGGATTCTGTCAGGTAATAAGAAAAGAAAAAGGATCATTGCTCAAGAGAATCCTTGAATGATTACTGATTACTGTCTTGCGATTCTCCAGGCCTTCCCTACCGATAATTTCAGGATTACGTTTGCAAAGAACAGAAAACGGGTTTGAGAAATAAGTTCCAAAAGAGTGTCTGAAACCCGAGCCATGTTTCAGAAGCGTTAGGACAGGTATAGAGACGGCATCTGCTCTATTACTCAGATTGCTTGCACATACAAAATCCGAGATCTACCTGACAACTCTATCAGAAATCTTGACACAAAAACTTTTAAGAGGCAAAAATATCAAATACTTGACGGGGATGTCTTAGCCGCAGTCACCACAGAACATATAAAAGCACGGAATCACTGCAAGCAAAACTTGTATCATGTGAATAATGAGTCTAACTGGTTGATCCGTTGCATCATCTTGAATCAAATCCATAAACTTTCATTGTAAATCAATTATTTCCTTTTAGATCAGTTTCATAGCCTGTCACTTTGGCAAACCTTCGCACTCTGTTTATGTTGCAAACCTATACAGGTTTCTTTCTTATAATTGAAGCCTGTATAGGTTTGCAGCATACGAGGGTTTTAAAATTTTCTTCCACATTTTTCCATTTTCCCACAATCCAAACAAACCCCCCACAGAGAAAAAGAAACTGAATTAAACGTTAGCAACTCCTAAAACGTTAACTTCTCTTGCATCATTTGTTATTCGAATCTGCAGCGGAAATTCGAATTCCATGATCTATTTTTAGACAAATTTCATTTCGTTAGAGTGCAAAACAACAAACCAGAAGACAAATTCAATCCTAAATTCCAAAATTCTTGAAACTTCATATGCTTCTCATTTCATCACGACGGCAAAAAACACCTAGGAGAAGAACTGAACCTACAAACCTCGAGAAGCACAGAACTCCTAATATAGTTCGCAAGCAGAAAGACACTTGATTTTCGAAATTTTCCTTCATTTTCTCATGAACCAAACAAAAACAAGAAAGAATTCGATTCGACATACCTCTTGAAAGCTCCTGACAGTCTTCCCGATGCTCCTTCCCACCTCAGGCAACTTCTTAGGCCCAAAGACCAAAGCAGCAACGCCTGCAATAACAACCAACTCCGGCACACCTAGACCGAACAGAGCATAACAAGTGAAACCCTTCTTCGACCGCAGATTCCGGGTCAGGATCCGAGTTCCGGGTCGAGCCGAAACAAGGGAGACAGACCCGATTCGGGTCTTACCGTAAAACGAAGACGATGAAGAAGAAAAAGAGAAAGGGATTGACGATGAATGAGCGGGTCTAGTGACAGATGAGAGAGAAAGCGATGAGATCTCCATTGCAATAACTATGAAATCTTTGGATTCTTCTGATGATTTTCCCTCTTCTTTTGGGGTTTGGGTTTATCTGAAAAGATGTGTTTTTTGATAGAAAAAAGAAGAATGGATGTGAAGATGGATAACGAGAATTCCAAGTTTTTTGGATTTATATGCTTCGGTGGTACTGAGGTATGAGGGACAAGATTATAGGGTTAAAAATGTAAAGTTGAGACATAAGGGGTTTATTTGTAAAGAAACAAAAAATATAGAGGAGAACCAATGGTTTTGTTTTCTTTCGTGGAACAAGTACGAAGTCGAAAACTTTGGATGAACCGAGAGGTTCCCACATGAGCAATTCCAAATTCGCTCTCTCTCTTTTACAACGGCTAAATCCAAAAAACTTTACTCACGCGAAGCCAATACACGCTCAGTTGGTCGTCAATGGCTGCGAAGACCATTCTCTTCTCGGCAAACTCTTGGAGCATTACTGTTCTTCGTCTTCTTCCACTGCAGAAAGCACCAAACTTGCTCATTCGATGGTTTTCCCGCAGTTCGATCCTCTGGACACCTTTCTCTTCAACACGTTGCTGAAATGTAGCAAACCCGAGGAATCGATTGGGATTTTCACGAATTGGGCATCGGACAGTCGCTTGATTCTCGATGAGCACACGTTTGTGTTTGTGCTTGGCGCTTGTGCCAGATTCCGTTCGGTTTCGACGTTGTGGTTTGGCCGACAGGTTCACGGGATGGTAATAAAATACGGGCTTCTCTCTGATTCTTTGTTGGTCGGAACTACTTTGATCCATTTCTACGCAAAAAATGAGGATTTACGTTCTGCGAGGAAGATGTTCGATGAAATGCCTGAGAAAAGCTGTGTATCGTGGAATGCAATGATTGGAGGATATTGTTCACGAAAGGAGAAAGGCAGTGACTCTGCTCATATGGGTTTAAAACTGTTTCGTGAATTCATGTGCGGTGATGAGCCATTCAGGCCTAGTGATACGACAATGGTTTGCGTTCTTTCCGCGATTTCTAGAATGGGTTTCCTTGAAATGGGTTCTCTTGTTCATGGGTACATAGAAAAATCAGGTTTTGCACCCGAAAACGATGTTTTCATCGGTACTGGTCTTGTAGACATGTACTCAAAATGCGGATGCTTGGAAAGCGCGGTATCTGTGTTCGAGCTAATGAAAGTGAAGAACGTATTGACATGGACTTCCATGGCGACAGGGCTAGCTCTTCATGGCAGAGGAGTCGAGACAATGAACCTTGTCGAGAAAATGGCAGATTCTGGTGTTAAACCGAACGAAGTAACCTTCACAAGCTTGCTATTGGCTTGTTGTCATGTAGGGCTGGTCCAAGAGGGTCTCAGTTTGTTCCACAGCATGAAGGAAAGATTCGGTATTGTTCCTGCCATTCAACACTGTGGTTGCATAGTGGATCTCCTTGGTAGAGCCGGGCGTTTAAAAGAAGCGTATGAGTTCATATCGACTATGCCAGTCCAGCCTGACTCTATCTTGTGGAGGAGTTTGCTGAACGCGTGCAATGTTCATGGGGACACAGAGATGGCTGAAAAGATTGGGAAGGTACTAATCCGGTTGGATCAAAATGATTTGAGTTTTGGTGTTGATTGTGAAGACTATGTGGCTCTGTCGAATGTGTTGGCTTCCGAGGGGAAATGGGGCAAGGTTGAGATGTTGAGAGAAGAAATGAAAAAGAGGAGGATCAAGATGAGAAAAGGTTGCAGTCTTGTTTGAATCCTTGATTTCAGATTCATACAACAATAATATGAAAGACACCATTTTCTCCGGAAATAACTTAGCAGTCATAATCTTATGCGTAATGATATCATGCTATCGTTAGAAGTGTTTCGTGGGGACCAATACGAGGTTGTCTTTCTTGTGCATGGCGAGTCCGGTCTTTACGTCCATCTTGTGATGTCTTCAGGCATAACTCCCGTCGGCAAGCTCCATTCGAATCGGTAGAGAAGGTTTGCCAAAGGGATCTCGAACATGGCGACGCCCAAATGCATCACGGGACATATCCTACAGCCCGACCCAAACAGCAAGAGCTCGAAATCTCGACCCTTGAAGCCCACGGTCTTGTGATCATTCATGAACCTCTCCTGTACGAACTCGTTAGGGTGCCCCCCTCCCACGGTTTGGTCCCGGGGCACGGCCCACGTGTTCACCTGAACGATCCTTTTTGCAGGAATGTCGTAGCCGCCGATCTTGGTGTCTGCGATGGCTTCACGGTGAAGAAGAACAGGAACCACGGGGTCGAGCCTGAGAGATTCCTTGACGTCGTCTTCAAGACGTCGTCTTCAATAGTAACGTTGCCAGCATCATCGCCTCGACGTTCTCGCAAGTGAACTCGGTCGAGAAAGGCTGATCTTTGTATATTTCTCCCATAAGATCAATGAAACTCTCTCTCTCTCTCTCTCTCGGGTCTCGGGCGGTTCGGACCATGAACATGTATAGATTCAGCAAAATTAGAAAGACGAAGTATGGGCTTACTGATAAAATTTTAAAATTGCTACAATATAAAAGGTTCACCACAATTTAACCAAATCTAATCATTTTGTTTTTCTTTTAATAAAAAAAGCTCAATCATTATTTCTCTTATCCGAAAACTTTAATGATTACTAGATTACAAAAAATTATATTTGTTTTTTTTTTAAATGTTGGTTTATGTGCAAGGGCTCCACTTCCTCCCTGTAAATATGGGCCTTGATCGGTGGCACCATTTGATGAATCACGTGTTCTGGAAATGCACCTTTTTTTTTGGTTGCTTGGTTATATATTTTTAATTTATTTTATTTTGTTGTCCGTTTTTAGCATTTCTTCTTAAAACGTGGTCTTAGTAGGTGAGCCTCCTCCGTATGGTAATTTTCTAAAATAAAACTGTAACATTTTATTCGTATTTAAAACCAAACTCTTATACGAATAAATTTAAATTTGAAATTTGCATAAACTTTATGTGAACCAAAACAGATTGATATTTCCGTCTGATGTTTTGGTTTAGGAACCCTAATTTAACAGGCGAAATCGGTATTAACATAATAAAATAATCTCTCATTATTACCGGATAATATATATGTTTTCCCCTAAACTATTTTCGGAATTGGTGCCATATCTCTGTTTTCTCCTTATAAAATGAAGCAAAGATGAGAACACAGACCAACCCCCAAACAACTTAGCATCTCTTCCACCCTTTGAGATTCTCTTCGATTTCAGAAACGAAATGAACATCGCCGATCTTGAAGACTCCTTGAACCTAAACCCTAACGGAAACCGAATCGAAGAAGAGGAGGAGGAGGAGGAAGAGGGGATTCGAGCAGGAAGGATAGCTAACGCGGTGGCGTTTCCGATGGCGTTGAAAACCGCCGTAGAGCTTGGAGTGATCGACGCAATCCATGCAGCGGGGGAGGGAGATTGGCTCTCGCCACGCGAGATAGCATGTCGGATTCCGACCAAGCCTGGCAATCCACATGCCCCCATGATGCTGGACCGCATCTTGCGCTTGCTTGCTAGCTACTCCATAGTCAAGTGCCGTACGGTCAGAACCCAAGAGGACGGCGGAGGGACCGAGATCGAGAGGGTTTACGCATCCAAACCCATTTGCCGGTTCTTTCTGAATGATAGTCAAGGCTCTGGTTCTCTTTTCCCTTTGTTCTTGGTCTCACTTACCGACGTCTATATCAACATGTGGTAGCTTACTCTCTCTATCTCTCTCTCTCTCTCTCATATTATTTTAGAAAACGTTAAGTTATGATGATTTGCTTGATGGGTAGATGCATTTGATTCCATAAACTTTGTTTAACAGATAACATGCCTTAATCTTTCATGGGTAGGTCTCATTTGAAGGATATGATAATAGAAGGGAAAGATCCGTTTACTTGCGCCAATGGTACAGGGCTGTACGAATACTTGGCAAGAAACGAACCTTTTCACGAGCTATTCCACAGGGCCATGTCGGAACATTCGACCATGATCATGAAGAAAATTCTACGAGTTTACAAGGGTTTCGAAGGTGTGAACGTGTTGGTCGATCTGGGAGGAGGAGACGGTACTTCCCTGAGTCTCGTCACCGCAAAGCATCCTCACATCAGGGGCATCAATTTCGACTTGCTCGATGTCGTAGCTAAGGCTCCTACTTTTCCTGGTATGGGACTGCCCAAATGTTTTTCCCTTTGTTTGGGACCGTATGCTAATAGAGCCCGAAGAATTGTCCGACCTTTTTTGGGATATTAATCCGTAGGGGTGGAGCATGTGGCCGGAGATATGTTCGTTGAAATCCCAAAGGCAGATGCCATCTTCACAAAAGTGAGTTACTATCTTGTTTTAAAGATGGATAAGTGTTCACGAGATTTCTAACATAATCTAATGGGGACGAACAAAATAACAGCGGTCGATCCATGGTTGGAATGACGAGGAGAGCGTCAAGATTCTTCGGAACTGTTGGAAATCGCTCCCGGATAAAGGGAAAGTGATCATCGTTGAGACAGTTGTTCCGACGAATCTCGAGGGTGGTCGCGAATACGCGAACTTGAGCTTCGACTTGGACGTGTTGCTGATGGCTCTACTTCCGGGAGGGAGGGAGAGGACACGGGCCGAGTTCGAGGGTCTGGCCAGAAGATCAGGTTTCGCCCGCTGCGAATTCGTGTGCCGCGCTTACTATTGTTGGGTTATCGAATTCCACAAAGAGACAGGAATGTGATCATTGTCCTCTAACATATATATATATTGAGCAATAATACAACCAAATCAGAAACACCAAACAAATGGACTCGAAAACAAACAAACCCACGAGTCAACATTCTGATTAATTGCTCCCCGAAGAAATGGAGGTTTACCACTAATGATCGAAATTAGTAATTTGGGATTGGAAACAAATCGCTCGCGTTGTTTCGATTCGTGATGAACAGCATTCGTGATCAAATCCATCACTACTAAACACCGATTCAAACCAACAAACAAACAAATGATTCGGCGAGTTAACAATCTGATTAAAATTTCCTCAAATCGACAAAAATCAACGAAGAATTGGTGCTTACTGGTTTTCGATCTGCATTGATCATTCGTCTTGTTTCGATTCGTGACGAACAGCTTTCATGATCAATCCTTCGCAATGCACCACCATGATTACCGGATATTTCCCAAAAGCTCGAGCCATGGCTCTCAAAATTTCTGCAATCAGATCCCTAAATCGATCTCGGTCAATTTCTTCTCCGAATCTCTCGAATATCGCCTTGTAAACGTCGTCGGTCTCTTCCTCCGGCGCGATCTCCGATTCCACCGACACTATTCGATTCAGGCCTCGCCGGAGCTCTGAAGTCGACAGGACTCCGTCTCTGTCGAGATCCAGGATCTGGAAATACTCATCGGTGACGGATTCAAAGAATTTCGTATCGGAGACGAATCCGATAAGGGTTTCGCTGGAGAATACCGCTTCGATCATTCTGAGACTCATTGGAGACGATTCGTTCGATGCTTCGTTGCTTTTCCTTCTTCTTCTTCTTCGTTGCTTTTTTTTTTGGCTCAACGGTTTATATACAGGAACGTACGATTTTGCTTGCATGTTTTGAATATGATACCATTCCCATACCTAAAATAAATAAATAATATTTTTGTTTTTACGTATTTAAATAACGCACATAGCTTTATTTTGTTATAAATTTTCGTATAATATGCAGAATTTAAGTTTTGAGAGCACACATAATAATGTATATGTACATGTATGGTTATTTGATTTTTATAATTTTGAAATTCAGTCAAATTTATGGTGTTCCAAAAAATGTGGAATGACATTTCACACAGAAATATTGTTGAATGGCTTGATATTTTTAGAATATTTAACGTACCATAACCTAATTTAATAACAATGTGTATTTTTTAAAAATTTTATGACTAAGTTTTTCCTTGGGTATTGACATAGAATTTTGTTTATTTTTCTCCAAAATTACAAATGATTTGGTCATATAATGATAAAAAATCACGTTTATTGTAATTAAAACCATACATCTAGATCTAGTTTCTTGGAATAATTTAGCTCTAAAAAGAATTTCAAAACAAATTATCTGTCCCATCGAAATTGAATCGAAATCGAAAATGAAATTTATCTTGGTCTCATTTAATATGTTTCTCTGTAAACTAAAATAAATAAATAAATAAACCGAAAAAATCGAGGGGAATATAAATTTTATGAACATTTTTGTTGAAAAAAGTGACCAACCAGAAACCAAAATAAATAAATAAATAATCATTTAGTATTAGATACATATTTTTAAAATATAAATAATCGATTTAAACGAAAAGAAATCAATCGTTGTAATTCTCCGAATTCCAAATTATTTGTCATAGGGTATATTCCAATATATGTGTTGAAAAAACAAATAGACGTAGTAAATTATTCATTTTCAATACAAAAACAAAACAAAAACAAAATGCTAATAATGGAACCGAAGTCCATCAAACCGAACCAAATATTGAAATCTTTTCATATGGAAATCGTCTTCTTTATACCAACAACCCGGTAAAATAAATACCATGAACAAACCCGAGATAAATCACATCGGTACACTTCATACCGATGATAAGATGATAAATAACCGAAACTATACCGGAAATTTTCACCGCCAAATTCATATATACAAATTACACTCTCACATTGCATTATAAGTTACCTAGTCCGTAACCTTGGAGATTGTGCCAAATACCAAACCAAACCAAACCGGATTATCTTTTTGATTTAGTTTCGACCGGTTTGGGTCTTGGAGAAGAAACAGAGCCACCACCAAGAGCTGCAGCAGCTGATTCCACATGAGTCAGGAGATACTCATAGATCTTCTTCCTTAACCTATCGATCGTTTCCTCTGAAACCTCGGGCGATTCTCCATCCTCTTTCCCGGGCGATGACCCGATCTCGTCCAACCAGTCGTTCACACTCTTGAGCTGACTCAGCATCCCGGCTATCTGCCCATTATCCGACAGACTTGGTGATGTATCCACATCAGTGTCCAAAAACCTCTCTACGAAACCCAAGAACCAATCTTGAGAAACCATCTGCAACCTCTCGACGAGATCGATTGCCTCGTCCAGACCGTTGCCTTTCACCCATTCAAGAGGTGGAGCCGCCAAAGCTGCAGCCTTTTGGCCGGTGCCATCCCCAGGTTTTCGGATGACACCTTGAGCTACGAGCTTGGAGCCAACCGATGGTCGGGTTTGGACATTCCCGCGGGTTTTACTCGCAGAATTCTTACCCTGGGTCTCGAGGACTATGATGGGTTTATTCCCCGAGGCAACGGGTTTGACCGGGCTGCTGGTGTAGACAGAGAAGGAAGATAAGTTGGTGGCTAAGGCAGCCTGCACCCATGAGGTTGCGAGCTTCCGTCTTTCTGCAGCAACTTTCATGGCTTCCTCGGACTTAGGTTCTTCATTTTCTGGGGATGATGCTGGAGATATTATTTTCGATAGCGAGTCGGTTATCGTTTGAACATTCTTCAAGTTGGAATGGAGCTTCAAGAACTGCTCAACCGCTGGCTGCGGATCATCTTCCTTAGCAGTTGACATGAGATCAGAATACATACTACAGAAGAAAAGACAGAAAGGTTAGAAACAAAAAATGCTAACGGGAAAACTTAGTAAAAGCTTCGGGGAAAATATAAAGAACTGTTCGATTTGGACCAAAGCTGCACTCGTTGTCCCTCAAGCTTCAAACACCAGACCCATATTTCAGTGTGGGATGATATGATATCGCAATTAATAACCGCGAGCTATAACACGATGAATTTTTTTCTTTTTTTGCAAGAGATGTATGTCCCTGAGGCAGCGAAGTAAGCTCTCAGAAGCAGCAGCCTCTTGCATAGCTTCTATGGCAGCAGCTTGAGCCGCATCTCTATGCCTCAAGACTTCCTGCCAGGGAAGAATAAACGAAAACCGAAATCAGTCACGATCTGAGAAGCTAAGCATATAACTTGATTTTGGTGCCAAAAGACAAAAACATTCAGATGCAGATCCTTACACTAACAGAGCATGTACCATACCTCGCATATATGATTCAGAAAGAGGTTGGTTAAAACTAGAATGACTGTCCAGTAGAAAAAAAAACGGTCGATTTTAAGCTATTGGGATTCAATGGGATTAAAGTTGTCTTTCCCATTCTCTTCAATTTCAAGATTACAACATTGTCATTGCTATATTTGGTTTATAGAACGGTTTATTTAACAATGAGGTTGTGTAAAAGAGAGAGATCACAAGAACAGGGCAAGTTTAAGCAAGAAGCAAGCGGCTTAAAAGGATCCATGAATTCATACCTTTCCTAGCTTTGATAGAGAAGAAGGGAGCGAACCCCATTGGATATTTGCATCCGCTAATCTTTTACCGTTTACAGGGACTTTGACCAAATTCCCGGGCAACCCATTAGTCGTTTGCTCCGCATTTGATTTCTTTCCAAGGGGTGTCGCTTTTGGCTTACCCATCTTATCTTTGTCGTCCAGTGTTCCATTTGCCCCCACCTTTTTGGTTGGCTGAATCTTATTCTCCTCCTTCGATGATCTCGAAAATATATTTGCCCTGTCCTCTTTGGTCGGCAACTTCTCGCTCGATGTGCTTTTCCTCGGGGCCTAGTAAATAAAATTTATGAACAGCCACGTTTCATACATTAACAAGAGATTAATGCATTAACAAGAACTAAAACTGCTAGGGAAAAGCTCAAGGTTTCACCTAGAACATGTCTGATCTCCTAGGAAAAGACTGTCATGACCCAGACGGAAAACCAACAAAAAAAACACAATACAGCACAAAAGCTGATGGATTACAACAAGATTTTGTCTGTAAATCAGACGGATAAAAAAGATGTAGATACAAACCAAGATTCTAAACCTAGAGAACGAGTAAGAGCCGTTTGATCATGATTTGAAGCGGCTCAAAGAAAAAGTCCATCGTAATTTTAGCTGTAAACCAAGTACCGATACTGACACTGAGCAAACTTCTGCAATGAAACCTTACAGTTATAAAAGATCTATCCTTTTTGCAATAAAAAGGTCTAGAATGATGAAAAAGCTTACTGATAAACTACGGGAATCAGGGGTTGAATCACGCTTTCCAGCCTTCAGTTTCGTGCTATCCCGACTCTTCACTTCAATATTACCTTCCCAACTCTTCCTCAGTGCCTTGGCCCCAAACTCGATCCCCTGAACGAAATTTCTAATCATGGGGAGCTTTTTCCCCAAGCTCGGACTTTCAGCCTTTAGATGGGACCTCCCCTTCTCTGGCAATGTCGATCGAGGAGAGCCCCTCTCCAACACCTTAGCCTTCACCTGCTGCTGATGTTTCACCCCATTCGCAAACTTCTCAAATGAAGTAGGCAACGAATAACAGCTTGTAGGCGAAGAAGGGATCGACTTCGAACCCGAAGTCTTCAGCTTCCCCAACGTTTCTTTCCTCACATCCAAAGTCAACTTCCCTAACTGTGACCTTGTCCGAGTCAAACCCGTAACCACTGGCTTCTTACTATCAGAATGTTCATCCCTAGAACTAACACTAAGCCTACTCCCCGCTGGTTTCTCCTTCTCACCGACACTCCCATTACCAGCAGCTCCTTTAGAAGATGTCTTGGCTTTCTCTTTCTCTTTCTCCCCGTGTTTCGAACCAGAGGAGCCATTGCCACTACCAGCACCATTATCATTCACATTGTTATCACTGAGAAACCCTGGTGAATGAGTAGCTACAATATCTTCGGGACTACCAACACAGGGATGCCTACCAGGAACAGGCCTAACACCGTGAAGAATCGGAACAGGAGAGGCCGATTCAAGCCTATCAACATGAATAAACTGACCTAATTGGATCTTATCGCTGAGAATCAAATCATCATGTTCATCAGGCAAAGACACATATGTCGCATGGGACGAATCTGAGACTTTGAGGTAAAACCCTTGATTCGGAAATAGCTCGCCTCCCGCTAAAGCAGGGACTATACTCACAACCTGCAAGAGAGACGACCTGTGTTCTCCGGCGACTTTAACGTCGGTGTTCATGTGCTGAAGAAGCTTCAGTAATACTCCAGGTACTAGATTCGCCATCTCTGCAGAGCATCACTTGGGCCCAAAAGGAGAACAAGAAAGGCTCAAGATTTCACCTCGAGAGCGTCAGATCTCTGAGAAAAGCGGGGATTTTGCCGAGACCCAGATGGGAAAGGCACGAATTTTGATACGAACCCAGATGAAAAACTAATATTATGATGGAGCCAGGTTGGGGAAAACCCTTAAAAAACACGAGAGATAGAGGAAATGAATAAAAATGGTGCGTAAGCCCAAGTAGGGTTTGCAGCCATGGAATTTGAGAAGAAAGTAAATTAAAATTGTTATTTGTTTTCGTTGAATCTTGTTTAAGGTAAGAAGAAAGGACTGGTCAGATTCAGGGGGGAAGAGAGAAGGAGATTGGAATTTGTTTGTTGCAGCTTATGTGGCTGTTGATGGAATGGACCTTCAAGCAAAATGCCAGAAGAAGAAGTTACTTAGCCATCAGACAAAAAAAACACGGAATATTTATTAAAAAACAATTAAATATTTAGAAATTTTAAGGAGATAAAAAATATATATTAAATAATTTAATAGTCAATTTTCCATGGATCCGTAAGTATTTTTGACAGGCAATAAATTTACTTTCTTTTTATTGCACGAATTAATTACCAATAAATCTTCATATCTTACCATTAAAATCCAACGAAGTTGACCAGGAGCAATATCCTGAAATGGCTGAATTATAAATGGAAAGATAAATTATACTTAAAAGTAAAAATATGATAAGAATCGTATGTAAATACTAAGTATAATCCCATTTTCTTTTTTCTGTTAAAACAACTTTTCGTTAAAAATAAAATATCTAATTCATGTTATTTTATAAATAAATAACAAAAATAAGAAACTTTAAGCCTTTTGGGTCATGGAAAACTTGAGACAGAGAGAAGCAACATGGGATGTCCTTCCGGTTTAAGCCAAACATAAGGTTCCTTGAGTTATGACAAACCGAAATTGCCGATTTTATCAAATAACCGAAGTAAACCGATTTTTGAATGAACGCTTGGATTTATTTTTGGAATCAAAGAGTCAAAGACCGACCAAATGTGGAAATTACCAAATAGGTATATCATGAACTTTCACCATATATACTTCGTTTTTATGGTTGTACAATGAAAAGTGTACCAATGAAATTGAAATGTTAAAATCCAAATGGTTTGTTAAATATTTTTAGAGGTGTTGGTAGCCATATGTTTTTTATTATTATGAAAAATATCCCGAAATTAAAATTTTGTTTTTCTATTTTTATATTTAAAAATTGTTGAACTTTATTGGATATAATTATAATAAAATTTATTGAATTTATATTAAATATAAAAATAATAAATTAGAAGAAAAAAATTAAATTAAATTTTAAAAATAAAACTAATCTAGTAAAATTTAATCCTGATCAAAATCTAAAAAAATAAATAATTAAAATTTTTTTTGAAAGATAAAAAATATTACATTAACGGTTTAATTATATTTTGCATTTTGTACTTCCCTTGTGTCGGCTAATGTTAATGCTTTGCTCTTCGTTTTCCACGATATCTGACTTTTTTTTCTCTCATTTGAACAAACACAAAATGAAAAAATTTGAATCTTATGTTTTTAGAATCCATAAGGGACAAAAATAAAATTATCAGCTATTGATGTTCAGTAATTAAATTTTTTAGAATTATATCAAATTTCAACTTTTTTTTATATAGTTATACAAAATAATAAGATATATAAAAAGGACATTTCTAAATTATATCAGGGTTTAGATTTTATATTTAAAATCTTAAAATCAATATTTTAAAAATTAAGATCTTTTCATCAATGGACATATACTGCTACTGTATTTCCAAAATTTTTTTTTATTGAAAATCAATTATTTAGATTTTTTTCTTAGTTGGAATTCAAAATAAAAAACTAAAACAGACTTTCTAACCATTGCCGTACCGGTTCAACGAGAACCGGTTTCATTATTAAACCGGGAATAAAAAATGATTAAACCGAAGACACATGGGGTTTCGGGTAGGATCTATCTGGAAAGGAAATAATTGATGCCACGTGTATTTGCATAATTCACACATGGGTCAAGAGCAAGTGAGAGACAGACAATCACACGCACCCCCTCACACACCACACCAAACAAGCTTATCCAATTATGTTTTATTTTTTTTATTATTATGTAATTTAATTTAAAACATTTTCCAATTATAAAATTACAAAGGCGGAAGGGAAAAGTTAAATTAAACGGTTCAAGATCATTTAAGTTGCTATTATTTATAAAGTTAATCTTTGACTTACGTGTATATTAAATAGTTAACAAATATTAAAAATGGTTTTAGACTTTTAGTGCATGGGATTCTTGAAGTGTTGTGTTTTAAGATATATTCCTTTACTAGGCCATTTTTTTTTTGAGTAAGTTCTATTTCATGTTATTTTAATTCCAAAAAATTTATCTCGTTTTCCGATTAATCTGATCACGGTCGGTTATCGTGATTACCAATTTTCAATTAAAATTAAGAAAAAAATATGGTTATTGTGAATTTAGATTGGATCATAATTCATTCAATATTCCAAAGACAAATTGTTATTTTGTATGGTTTGATTTTTATTTTTATTTTTATTTTTTTGGAAAAGGGTTATGAGCACTTTCCAAACTCCAACTCACGTATCTTCATAATTTTTAAAAATAATAATTAAAAACGAATTTATTCGACGAACGAACCAATACAACAATGTTTTCTTTTAGGAAACCTCTTCTTCAGCCGGAGGCTCTAGTCCTTCTTCATGGATTTGTGGATACATGTCATTTCATCACATACGAACAATTAATTTTTTTTGATAGTGGGGTTTCAGCTAATGCTCACAACTATACAAAAACAATCGTTTTGAATAAAATAAAATTATTAGATTTGGTAGTGTAGGCCAGTTTTTTGTCGGTTGTAATGAAGAAGATGGTTTGTCGTTGTCCCGAATTCTTCTGTTAGCTCTAATAACTGAAGAAAGAATCGAATCTTGCATCATTACAGAATCTTGGTTGGATGAACATGGGCGGGCTTTCAGTGAAATACCCATGGGCTTTCAGTGAATCTCGGTTGGCCCAACTCGTATAATTTTCAGCTTGGATTAAATTATTTAACCCAAATGGCTGGGTTACCATCCGTGGAGTCAGATTGAGGATATACTGGCAAGACATTCATGGAGCCGGGTTCAGGAGCTAAGGGTAACTATCGGATCTATGCCTTCATCCTCTTTCGCTCTCTCGTCTCCTCTTTTTGTCTATTGAATTCAGATTTCCGGCGTTTGTGAATGTTTTTCTATGCTTTTGATTCCAAATGATCGTATGGATTGGGTGATGAGTCTGGGTTTCTGATTTCTGGGTTCTTACATTCTGAATTTACTCTGGTCGTGGGCTGAGATCCTTTTATATGATTAACCCTTGATTAAGCACTTTGCATTAGTCATTCAACTTTCCGAATTTGGCTACCTGGAAGTGCCAAATGTAAGAAGACACAGCAAATCAAATACTAAATTAAATTCTTACCATAGAGTTGCATGGAAAAGAAATTGGATCATTTGCTTAGATAAGCGCCTTTGGGTTTTTAGTAAAAAAGGAGATAATTCTAAGGCTGGAACAGGTCTAGATCGTGTCGGGATCCTAGTCCTGTATCATATGCCTTCACACTTTGATCTTCTGTTGTTCTAATGGACATAAAGATTGAAATCCTTCAGCTTTGGTATAGCATTAGCTAATATCCTTCGGCTACTTTTGCCCGCTTGCGCATGGGGATCCCTTATTTTGTACATCTTTTGTAGAGTCTGATTCTGATGTAAGGACTATGTTTTTGGGTAAAGGAATACAACACTCACATTTGACCAAAAAAAAAAAGACTGGATCTTGACGGAAAGGTTGTTCTAAACTCGCAATAAATCGAGATTTTGGAAGATGGGTTTGTTTGATTTCAGGCTTGTAAGAAACTGAACAGAAGAGATCTCTCCGACTGTGTCATGTACGCCTCTTGTGAGCCATGCCCAATGTGCTTTGGAGCCATCTATTTTTCCAGGTTCAAGGTACACATACATTTCATGGTTGTTGTCTCTCAAATATGAATCAGGTTCTTTTTCTTTTTCGTCGTTTCGGCCGCCCTGAGATTTTCGTTATACGCAATTATGGCGCAGAGGTTTGTTTATGGGGGCAGAGCCGAGGTGGCTGCGACGATAGGGTTCGAGTCTTCAATCTCCGATGATCTGAAACGCCAGCTGGAGATCAAGAAGATTGGCGGCGAAATGGCTGCGCTCGCTGAACAGATCTTCGCAAACGCCTAGGACAAGTTTCACTCTTTAGAGTTTCGTGTTTTGTCTTCGTTTCCATGATTGTATCTCTTTGTTATGTGGTGTGCTCGGCTAGGAACCTCAGCACTACTCGAAGAGTTTCGGTTCTGTTTGGTTTACCAAAACCGAATGAAGATTGAGTGAAATTGAGGTGAACCGGTTTTGGCTAAACGCTGCGTTTTTGTTGGAGTCGAGAACTAAGGAACCCTGTAAAAACGAATTGGGCTTTCGTAAGCCCAACAAGAAGATCATAGGATAAAATCTTGGCCCAATAACGAATCTCCACGTGGCCGTCACGATGCTATGCAAAACCTTATCCAACAAACCATCAGACAGAAACAGCGTATGCCTCTCTCTTCTCCGATTGATCCTTCTTCCTCTACCAGAAAATCTTCATCACTCAACTCTTAGAAGAACCCCCCAAAAAAAAATCATGGAGATTTAGGAAAAAAGAAGGGAAAGATTCAGTCTCCAGAACCCTAAAAAAAAGAATGGCAAGTGCAACCGCAAAACCCACCTTCTCTTTCCACCGGCTTTCTCAAACTCTTTCTCGTTCTTCTCCTTCCCCTAAACCTCCATTGTTGCTGAGACCAGCGAAGAGAGAGCTCCACCAGCTCTCGATCACGTTCTCGCAGCACAATTACCGTTTTTCTCCTCCCCGCTCCATCGACGTCTCCCAAGAAGACAACCCTTCTCCTCCCCAGTCTTCGGATCAACCGGAAGGTGGTTTACTTCCGGAGCAAGAAATAGAAACTCCGGACGAATCTTCGATCGACAGCAGAAGATTAGAGGAGAAGTTCGCGGTGCTGAACACCGGGATCTACGAGTGTAGATCATGCGGGTACAAGTACGATGAGTCCGTAGGCGACCCGTCGTATCCGATTCCTCCAGGTTTCCAATTCGAGAAGTTGCCTGACGATTGGAGATGCCCAACTTGTGGAGCCGCGAAGAGTTTCTTTCAGAGCAAAATGGTTGAGATTGCAGGGTTTGCTCAGAACCAGCAATATGGGTTTGGTGGAAATACGCTTACTTCCGGGCAAAAGGCTGGTTTGATCTATGGGACTTTGCTCTTGTTCTTCATGTTGTTCTTGAGTGGTTACTTCCTCCAATAATTGCCCACAAGTAAAAATGAGTGAAATGTGTCTGTCTATTCATGGTAAATGTGTCTGTTTATGGTAAGAGAACAGATTATACGGTCTTCAGCTTTTCCACTGCTTCCACTTTGAGTTTCTGTCTAGGGAAAGTGAATTTCTAGTGGATTGTGATTCAATATGTGGTGGCTTTCTTGTTCTTGTTGATCTAATGGATCTGATTTTGATTTGAGAATGTTTGTTTTCAGATTCGACCTCATTGCTAGATTCAAACACAGAAACTCGGATTCTGATTGACAACAGAATTAAAAAAAACAGAAAGACACAACAGTACATAAAACTATAACAGAGAAAGAAACTTCAAATGTATGACTCGATGGTATACACAATGTGTCTGAACTCAAACTACAAGTCTCATCACCAGCTTTGCTTCTTCTCTCTATAAATTCTCGAGAAACCGAAGCCGCAACACTCTGGGAGATATTTCTGTTTCTGCCACAGTTGGAGGGTAAGTCTCTGAAGGACACAACATCGGTCACCCCACAAGTTTTCGAAATCAAATCTAGACGGTATTGGCCTGTTCATTCATTCGCTCGTTGTTCCCATCTGCGTCTGTTGTGCCTTGGCCTGATAAACCATTTTCTTGCCGGTTTTCCCATTTGTTTCGCCTGATGCAACTCCTTGCAGATAGTAAACACCATCCATGTTCCCAGCTCCCCCTGGCCTGTTGATCCATTTCGTAGGAGGCGAAGGCAATGGGTTGACATGATGGACACTCTCACCTTTTGAATAGTTGTCGTGTTGTGTCCTGTTCGGGTGATTATCGGGTGGTTGTCTACTTCTGACATTGTCTTCTATTGACAGATGGTACATTCCGGCTCTGATGCCACGGTTTTGCTGTTGCGGCTGTTGTTCTCGTGGTCTGAAGTTATTCCTGTTAAAGCCGAGTGACCCATTTGAGGAACTGGGATTTCTTGGACCACCGCTGAACACCCCAGGACCATTGTTATACTGCCCGTAATAGTAATGGCTTGACTCATCGTCGTTTCCCCTTCTGTAGTTAGAGGGGCCAGCTGGTCTCGGTCTACCACCTGTAAAGTAACTATTACCAGGTCCATTTCGGTAGTATGGGTATGGATCTAGTAATCCTGAAGCTGAACCACTTGACGATTTGATGTTAAGGGTGTTCTTGATGAGACGGTGTGCCGCTTCTCCCAACATTTGACCTGCTATAGCACCAGCCACTTGTGGCCTGCAAAAGTAGATGAATTTTATACATTACTGTTTAAGCTAAGAACTTACCCTACAATCTTTTAAATTCACAGTAGAGATTATAAACAATCGCCAGTTTCGTGCTTCTTTCTTGGACACGTGTGAGAACAACGTGAGAACCTGTGCGTTAAGAAACAAATCATATCCATTTGACATGGAGACAGTTCAGATGGAACATTAATTTCCCAGCCCTGTGATAAAATGATGGTACTAGTAGATGGTTCTAGGCAAAACAGCTAGCATTTATCATCTCAACACTTCAATCTATAGAATTGGAAACCCAGAAAGAAATAATAATACAGACTTAAATTATGAAGCCCTCACCTATCTCGGGACTGTTGGCGGCGACTACTATTGTCTTCGTGCCATAATATGGGAAATGGCTTAATATCTCCAATCGTCAAGATCTGCAAGCAAATTAATATGGCGAATCTTGATCCATTTGTTTCGCAAGTAAATGCTCAACATAAGGTCCTCATTTAACCAACTCAATTTCAGTTTGGGAAAACTCAGGCAAGAATCGCAGCTGACATGTGAATGAACAGGCGGATGTGCTGATAAACTTGACATATAAATCTAATTTTTCATTACCTTTCTGTGAAACCTAATATTCAGAAGAAAAAAAAACTACACCATTCACCATTGACAATCTCATTTGTCACAACGATACCTTGTCTGGAATGATCGCCCCTCTAGGTGGTTGCGGGATATGACTATGTTTCGCTGGATTCAGATACGTAACACTTCTGTAATAACATAAAACAAAAAAATAAGTGAATCGCAATGAGTAATTAAAATGCCCCATCAGTTTCCTGGGAATAGTCACGGGGAAGAGAAAGAAACTTACACTGCTCGGTTATGCTCGAGGCATGGCAAACTGTTGACAGGGGAATCCACTTTAGTTTGAAAACCATTCCTTTCAGATAACCAGAGAAACCCATTCATCCCTTGGCTAAACAGTCAAATCAGAACCAATAATTAGAAACAGTTTATATCCTTGATAACGGTAAAAACCAAAAACCCAGAGTAGAGAATGCCAGCTAATCAGAAATTCGGTGAATCAAAGCTAACCTAGCATTTGTGTCAATCACCCACGGAAGTCTTTCGTGTGGTGGCAACCAATGGTAGAACCGGTAGTACTCCAGAATCTGCTGGGCCAACGGGTGAGCAGGATGTACGTATAACAAATCAAGCATCACACTATTGCGAAGCTGTTCTTCCTCCTATCAGATTTATCCAAAAGTAGAATATTGAGAATTGAAGAGCTGAATTACAATGCAAATTAAGATAATGTTATGTAAGTAGAGCCTGAGTAATCCAGAATGTAAAACTTCTTGACATGACAAAAAATTGACAAACAACATAAATTCACAAAAAAGGCAGAGTTTTCACGTTTGGCCAAGTATTATGTATCCTGCATGGTTTTGCTCTTATATTGGTTTTTCTAAACAATATGCATATGCATTCCAATAGAGGTTTGATTCAGACCGTTAAAGTTTCTTCGAGCTTCCTCGTAGCAGATAACAATAGTTTCTCTTCAATGAAAGGGAGTTTGGCAACACCCTGGAACCAAGGAAAACAGCGCATGCAAACATTAGCAAGATGAAGAACAGAATTCACAGTTCACTATAAAAAGAATAATCACGGAAGCATATACCTGCCAGGCAAATCGCTTGCCATTCATGTCAATCTCAAAATCTGTACACAGTACAATAGCTTATTGGCATCTGAAACCATCATAAAGGAGAAAAAAAATGCAAAATTACCAGCAGGGTAAAACTTGAGGATCGGTGATGAAGGATCAGTCATCAACTTTCGGTATCCTTCCGGCAGCGCATTTGAGCTGTAACAATCAAGAATTAAGGTTTCCATTTCCACAGGCACCATAAACACAAAATAATAGAGGTTCCTCGGGTAGGAAAGAAGAACCTTGCAGCCGGTAGGGTTCCCATGAGCTGGTCAAAAGGTTTAAAGGGCTCTCCTATGAAAAATGTGATTTCCAAATCGGATAGATTCTTAAGGTCTGAAGCAAATGGAGCATAATGGTATGGATAAAACCTGAAAAAAAAAAAAAAGGTGAAACAAGGCTTAGAAAAGTACAAGCAACACCCTACCAAGTTGCTTCCATTCTTCAGTGAGAAAACAAACAAATCACAATATGGTAAATAGCAATTAGAAACAACTGACACGAAAACCATGCTCTTTATGGAGTAGAGAATCATCAATCTACTACGAAATAAATGGCTATATGACAAGTTACTATAAAGCAAACCGACATGTTTTCGTCTTCCCAGGAATGGAAATGTTCGAGAGAACCAGACTAACCATTGCCAAGAGCAAACGCCCTGATAATAGTAGCGGCAAACCCAGCATAAACCTTCCACATATTTCAGCACCTACAAGGAAAAATAAGTCATCATTTTTCAAAAGACAATTCTGAATTCCTCATAAAATCACAAGGAAAATTTGCAGGAGACTAGTTCGTATCATGTTGTAAGTCTCCATAATAGGTAAGAAAAAAATGTTAATGGTAAACATATAAATTCAAACTTTTCCCGACCAGATCAAAGGGCAAATAGTCAGGATAACACACCAAAATCACATTCATGGCTCAAAGAATCTTTTATTTGATATTAGAATTCTCATGTAACAAAAAAGGGAATAGTAGGAGTTGATTGACAACTCACCAAGTCTTGTTTGATTTGCTGGATTTCTTCTGGATTGGTCACACCAAACTTTTCAGCATAATATCTATCCTTGTATCCTGGCTCTCCTAGTTTAATCTAAAAACATATCAAACAGTAATTTTACTGATGCAGCTAACTAATCTGGATGAAATACGAGGATTTATGCCACATCTTAAACTATTTCCATGATTCACAAATAAAAACCCAAGAATGTTTGTGTTCCATGAATGCTTAATTAGAGAATTCAACAGCATTGTTTTACCTTGTCTTCCACCGGTGCTTCTGGCTCCTCAGAAGGGTCTCTTCTTGCTTTTTGTTTCAGTTCTTCATTGTTCTCCATAGCCTGATACAACCATCAGAAGTGTTAGCACATATAAGATACAGATACAAAAATATATGAAATTGATACCTGTTTTATTCTCGCTCTTTTCTGAAAAATTTGGTCTTCATGAATGGCAACAGATTGAATGAAATGTTCTACTCTATCTAACAAAACCTAACAGCAGGAAAAAAACCAAGAAGAATGTGAGAAGTGACGCAGTGTGGTGGTCTTACAGAAAAAACAGAGTTCATTAAATTGATTTTATTAGGATTTCTTCAACTATTGTTTGCCAATTAATTATTAAGTAACATATAAGTACACATGATTTGCACTGACAAAATAACGAAAAAGATTCTTGGCACAAACAAACACAAGAAACTGTTTCACAAGGCAAATTCTATGCTACATGAAACGCGGATGAAATGCCAAATATTTACCTCACCGGAATCAGTAAGATAACCACCCATAGCAGTAAACTCCTTTCTATATACATGCATCAGTAAGTTTATAGCACCCTGCGGTGGAAAAGAAGCAAAACGAGTAAAGACTAAATCAGAAGAAGTTAGGAGTTCGATAAATTTCCCAGTGGTATCATAGAGGCTGAAGCAAAATATTGACTCAGTACAGGGCTAATATGGTAACTGCTAGGCATACACAATTCTAATTATCTACAATAGTTATTCTTCTAAGCAATGTGCACATGAACATACCTCACGAATTTCCAAGGTAGGCATATGAGGAAGAAAGTCATTGCCGACAAAGAAGCAGAGGAATACAAAGTCATCGATAATCCTCTCAAAGTTTATTTCAAAGGGAGGATCCGGAATGGCCAGTTCATATTGCAGATATTCTCGCAGCACCCAGACGTTCAAGAACTATCCAAATCATCACATAAATGAGCAATGAGAAAAAAGACCCCAAGGAAAATTAAGAGTTAAACTCCAACAATAGCTCTTCAAGACCGGAAAACAAAGCTGATCAAACCTGATACTTCTTCTTGTATACAGGTATGTCACCTGCCGCATTAGCATTGCCTGATTTTCCAGGGCAATCTGCGGCAAAATGACCAACTTGTCCACATGCAAAACATTTTTCCTGTTGGCCAGGAAAAGTAACAACCTGAAATGTAAAAGGAGGTCAGGCATTTAACCAAGCCATCTATGAAAAGAGAATACGGTGAGTTGGGAAGTAAAACAGCTAACCTCTCTTAAGATTGAGAAGTGAACCTCATGTGTAGCTAAGGCTAGCATTATCAAGTCTGCATCCTGCATATGAGTATTTACAGTTCTTAGCAAGGAGAAAGATGAAATTCATTTGAACCGGAACCAGAAAATAACATCATACTAAAAATCGGAATTAGAACAACATTATTTTCCGTCACAATACTCACCAGACCATAAAGACAATGGCGAGTATTTGGATCGAAGCCAGGAAGATTACGCTGGAGACGGATATATGACATTATCTTGTGTTCTCCTTCGCCAGGAACATTTGAATCAGAAAGAATAACCTTCAAATGATGCCCCACAAATAAATTTAGAGACACAAATTATCCTGAAAGCCAGAAGTATAGGGAAAGTGACAACAGAAGGATTACTCCATGTGATGGAAATCATCCAATGTTGAACAGATGAGAGAGTAGATGAATCCATCACACCTTAGTATACCGCCAGCCAGGGTTATGGTTTAACCTAGTTTGAATGTAATACTGAAGAGCCACTGACAGTACACCCATAAATGGGGTTCCAGGAGTAATGACATTTGAATCTGAGGTTTCCGTTTTTTCTTTAGCAGACAACAATTTTCCCTCAACATCAAATTCTCTCTTCAACCTCTCTTCCTCGGCTTCCTATTCAATTACCAAGAGAATAAGAAACATGCACCCACCAAAATCATGTGCAAGATACAACACCAAAAGATATCAAACTGAACGCCGAAGGAAACTTACAGCCTCAGCTGCGTCTTTCGCAGCTCTGAATCGTCGAGAACGCTGTTGATTCATTTTGGCTCTAGGAGCAACCCCATCTGCAATAGTCAATACTTTATCAGGTCCCCCGTTCAGAAAATAGGCACAGAGGGCAAGACAACATGAAAAGCTTACCAATAGCCATATAAAGAAGCTTCCTCGGACGCACTAAAGAGAAAAGATGGTCAATGTACTCGAATATTGATTTGAATACATCATCGTATGTTGCAGGTGCAGGCTGCAGTGAGAAAACCGCATTAACATTTAATCATCTGCACAACACATAATTATGCGCAAATTCCCAAGCATTTCCTGTCTCCTCAAATTACAAACCGACAAAATCACCTCTAAGAAAGCATATTTGAACAGAACAAACTCTTCCTCTCTAACAAATAAGTCATAATAATTCTTACCGGTTCCAAACACGAAAACATTTCAGCAAAAATAAAAACTACCAAACTTTCCTATGACATGATCCTGTATTCTTTCATAGTAGACAACCCGATCCTCAAATAACAGTACTGTATCAAGAATCAGGAACAGAGTTCGGAATAAGAAGTCTTCGATTTCAGAATGTTGACCCAAAAGTTCAACACAAACTGTAATGACTCGTTGATTTAATCGGCATCCATAAAATTGAATCTCTAGTTCCCAGACTAGAACAGTAACAGTACAGACAAAAAAAACCTAATTAAACAAATTCAACATGAAAATTAAAAGAAAAATCTATCTAAACCCTCAAACAATCAGTTTACCGGTTAATTTCCGGTCCCCCTGCATAGAATCCGAACTATAATCCCCAAAAGTAATCAAGTTTAGCTACCTGCAGACATCATTGACACAAAAACACTCTGCACAACACATTCAAACCCTTACCCAAATCTCTCTCCACACCAATGCACGAATCTACACATCCAGATTCACGCAACACATAATAATCACAGCAAAAAATCACCTTTCCCTCGGGATGAAAACAAGGATGAATGATTCCGTTCATATCCAAGTAGAGATTATCGAATTCGAACCCATTAGGGTTAGGTCTGGTGATATCCACCGGAATTACGCCGCCACGACCGTCGTCCGTTGGTTGCTCTTCCACAACGTCGCTAATGGACTTGGGATATCGGTCGGCGAGCCACCGGTAAAACGCCGGCACACCCATCTCCGTCGGCTACAAGCTCTGGTCTTCTTCGGATCGGGTTCTGATTTTCAGGGGAGAGAGAACCGAATGGTATTTTACGGAATTACCCTTTGGGAACTCGATAGCGAACTGCCGGTACACGGGAAGGTTCTACTCGCAAATATATATAAGAGAAGAAAAAACATTACTAAAATGTACAAAAAGAAAAACTTGATTTAAAACTAATGATTACAGATACATACTTGGGGATTTAATATGTTTGATGCTCTAATGATGAGGAAGTCAAGATTTTTATTTTTGATTCTTTAACAGTTTAGAAGGACAACAAATTTTGCTTGAATTTTATAATTTAGAACAATTAAGAAAAGTGTAAGTCGAAAATTTATAGAAAATGAGAATATCGATAATAATAGATATAAAGTGGGTCCAAAACGAAAAAAAGATTGAACAATGGAGGTAGATAATATATAATAAAGGAGTATATGAAAACTAGAAGCATATAAAGAAGGGTAAAAAACACACAGTAAGTTCTAAAATATGGGAAGGTGGGACTGTAATAATAGTTGATGAAATTTGTGGAAAATGAAAAGAAAAAAAATTGATAAAAAAAATAAATGATAAATGTGGGGAGAAAAATTGGAAAAAGAATAAAAGAAAGTCAAAATGTGATGAAGGAATATATATTTGGAGAAACGTGAAATAGATCCATTGTCGGGGATCACAATTTGATGAATTGACATAATCAGATAGTTTTTTTTTTCTCATCCTTATGGCCCATTGGGCCTAATTATGATATTAAAGGCCCATTCATATCTTTATTAGAATATTCATTCGGGCCGGAAGGTACGGGAGCCTGATAAGCTAGCACCGGAAAATTCAAAACTCAAAAAGCGCATGTGGTATATACAAAGAGAATTTATACATTTCCATATCCCAACATTTTATACGTTTGAACCCATTTAACTAATAAATTTTAAATATTTTAGTTAATATAAATATTAAAAACTAAACAATTTATTTTTTTAACATAACAATCAAACTGTAATCCAAGTATATATTTTTAACATACCAATTTTTTTTTTTTATAATCCCGAAGTTTACCGGACCTTTGACCTGACTACATATTCCAGAAGACCGGGAAAACCCAGGTGAATGTCCGTCCCCACGGTTGGAAACTAATTATTTGAGAAATTTCGATGCCAATACGTAACCTTTGTTCCTTCGTATCCAATCAGGTTAACCAGCCTTTGGAAACTTTGAAACAAAAATGAAATCAATTTATTATGTCATTCAGAGTTAGGGATGTGCACCGTTACATGATTTGGTCAATGATCTCATTTCTTCTGACTTTCTTTTTTTTTTTTTATCTCAATTATTACGGCTCAATAATCGTGGCCACTAAGCAAGTATCGGTGTATTTTAATTGAATGCGAAATTTTAAATAAGAAAAAACATTAATGTAGCAAATAAAAAATAGCGTTTGATATACGAAATGTCAGGACATCAGAGTTTGAATTTAAATCAAAGAATTGTTAGAAAAACTTATCCCAATTCGAATTTCAAGTATTTTTATATTCAATTTACTTTTAAAGTCCGAAGTTCGATCCGATCTAACTCGAAAATTAGCGAGTTTTAAGCTTAAATTTTCTGACCGAAAAAATCGACTTTCGAAGCGGACTCAAATCGAGTTTTGGATTCGATTCGGTTCACCCGAAAGCTTAATATATTTTTTAAAAAAGAAAAAAAATAACATTGCAGACCAGTCCAGTCTAACTCGACCCGAAAGAATATCTAGGATCGGACTTCGAACTTAGATTTATAGGCCCAAAAAAATTGGACCGACTTGGACTTGAATCCAAACCCGAGCGTGAATTCAGGTTGGTCCAATTGACATCCTTATTGATAACTGGGTTTCAGTTATCTTAAAAAGTATTGAGATGTTTTCAACTAATCGTGGACAAAATTCGACACTAATGACATATATATATATATATGTATATATCTATATAGATGTCATCGTCAATAGCTGTAAGAAAGGATCGTATATTAATTAATCGAAAGGCATACAGTATGGCATCAATGGTCCATGTATAAAATACGCACAACGATCTCAATTTAGATCCGACATCCAAAATCTCATCTGGTCTAACCCGAAAAATAGCGGATTTCGAATCTAACTTTTTCGATCCGAAAAAAATCGAGTTTTGTTTACAAATCAATTTGAGCTCGAACGTGATTATATAAGCCTGAAAAAAATCGGGTTGGTCCAACCCTAAACCCAAAACTCTCGGACCGAGTGCAGACTTGGGCGAGGCTGACCCGATTACACCCGTACGCAAACGCATATGCATATACATATATGGATGGACAAAATATGTAGTGACATGTGTGTGTACCCGATTATTTTTCTTGTAATTTTTATTTTTTTTTATGAAATGAAATTTTCCTTGCGTGTATCATGGGATCCTCTCCCATTGTATCCGTATTTCATATTAAATTCTTAATAACAATAATTTTATTACATATAATAACAATACTTTATAAATTATTCGAAGTCATTGCCCCCGAGAAACTCTATTTATGGAGGCACATCATCTCCCCGTGAAACCGAGAAAAGGGAAAGGAAAACAAGAACGGAAAAAAAAAAACAAAAATAATTAGAGATGAAGGTTGAAGCCATTGGCAAAGAAACCATAAAACCATCTTCTCCGACACCAAATGATCTTCGAACAGTGAAACTCTCTGTGTATGATCAGTTCTTGCCTCCTGTCTACACAGTTTCTGTCCTCTTCTTCTCCAATAGCTGCCGCCATGATCAAACTCAGAGAGAGGGTCCCATGTTCTCTGAACACGACACGTCTCTGAAACTCAAGTCCTCCTTGTCCGAAACCTTGACCAGATTCTACCCTCTCTCCGGCAGGATCAACGATGGCGGAGACGCCATCGATTGCAACGACGAAGGAGCTGTCTTTGTCGACGCTCGTTCCGATTCCACTCTGCTCGATTTTCTGAAATCACCCGATTTCGCTGCTCTTCAACGGTTCCTTCCTCTGGACACCGTCGAAAATCCCTACGAATCCGCTGCCACGTGGCCTTTGTTGCTCGTAAAGGCGACGTATTTCAAGTGCGGTGGCTTGGCCATCGGGATCTGCATTTCTCACAAGATCGCGGATGCGGCCTCGATATCGATGTTCGTCCGAGGGTGGGCAGCCACTGCTCGAGGGGATAGCGATTCAGCGACGTATCCCGAGTTCACTGCGGCAAAGTTCTTCCCGCCAGCTAGTGAATCCACGAGATTTTCCGGGAAAATAACACTTGACAGGAAAATCTGCGCCACGAAGAGGTTCGTGTTCGACGGATCTAAGATCGCCGAGCTCAGGAGAAAAGTCGCAAGCGGTGACGTGGCCGAACCGACAAGGGTCGAATCCATCACCGGGCTTCTCTGGAAATGCGTGGTGACGGCTTCGAACTCGGTCTCGGAGAAGCTCTTGTCGAAAGTGCTGAACCAACCGGTTAACTTGCGTGGAAAGGTACCTTCCCTGTTGTCCGAAAACGTGATGGGAAACGTGATGTACTCTTCCATGCCCTTGATGATCGATGGGCAAGGCGAGGTCGAAATTCAAGATGCCGTGAAAGATTTAAGAAGAAAAGCCGATGAGCTGAAGCGCTTCATTCGAGATGACGGAGGGTCATCGCTGATCGGTACGAAAATGGTGGATCTGATTCTGAGTAACATATCTGGGTTAAGTTACGAAACTCACGAGCCGTACAGTGTGAGTAGCTGGTGTAAGCTGCCGCTCTACGAGGCCGATTTCGGGTGGGGTTCTCCGGCTTGGGTCACGGGCAACGTGGCTCCGGCGTTAGACAACTTGATGATACTGATCGACTCGAAGGACGGGGCAGGAGTCGAAGCATGGGTCACGCTGCCTGAACAGGTTATGCTCTCGTTCGAGCAAAACGCAGAACTACTTGCCTTTGCTTGTCCGAATCCCACAGTCTCGGTCTAAGTTTACGAGTTACGCGTTCTGTGTGTTTTAATATTCAGTGTCATTTGATATCTAAATTTATTACGCAAATATACGCATCCTTTTTCTATTTATATTAAGAACGTATCTCTACTTTTTTATATTTATTCTACAAGTTGTGTGCAATTTCTTCCGCTTCTGAGTCAACGCCATTTATTTCAATTAAGTTTTTAGAAAAATTTAAATGTTCAGTATTTTTTTATGAGATTAAATGATATATGTTAATACATTAGTTTAATTTGAGGATTTTAAATGAAATATTCCGGAACAATAGTATGTAAATACACATATATCTCAAAATAACTAAAAAAGCATCGAATAAATTCATTTTTTGATACAGAATTAATTATGATTTAGGCATTGAAATTAAAAAAAAATATGACTTTTGTTTTTTTGAAAATACAACAAACCAGCCACGTAGGCCCAAGGAGCGTTCAACGTATCTTCTTTTACAGTCATGGACATCCGAAATTTCAAATACATTTACCGCCTTGGAAGATGGCCCAAGCATACTTTTCAGCTTCACACCATTTGAAGCATTTGCTTTGTGACAGTAGTTTTCCTTCTTACAAAACCCTAATTTGAGTTTTGAGTTCTCTCTCGGAACATGGGTTACCCTGTTTATCTTCCATTTCTCTTTGCTGTGTCTTGCTTCTCTTTGTGTCTCTGTTTCGCCGAGGACACGATCACGTTCTCGACCCGAATCAAAGATTCGGATACCCTTGTCTCCAACCGTAGAACATTCAGATTCGGTTTCTTCAGCCCTGTTAATTCCTCCAGTCGATACGTTGGTGTATGGTTCAATAACATCCCTGTTCAAACCGTGGTTTGGGTTGCAAACAAGGATAATCCGATCAACGACTCCTCTGGGGTCGTTTCGATGTCTGGAGATGGGAATCTCGTTCTTATGGACGGTCTGAATCGGACCCTTTGGTCCACGAACGTCTCTGTACCGGTTTCCGGCAACGTTACTCGGGCTAAGCTCCAAGATTCGGGGAACCTAGTGTTGCAAGAAACCAAGGACGGAGGAGAAACTTTGTGGGAGAGTTTCGACCACCCTTGCGATCTCTTGTTGTCGGGAATGCCGGTC